AAATAAATATTAAAACAGTGTTTTTTTGGTTCTTTCAACAAATCAATGCCCCAGTGAATGGACAAGTACATGTAACTAGCGGGTACATTAGCAAATAAGTCTCAACATTATCTCTTCAAGTTATCTATGGCCTTGGATAAACTTTAATAATATTTATGTACTTTTAGGTTATCACTTCTACAAACTGATTACTGTGGACAAAACTTTAATAATGCCTACTTTTAGGTTATCACTGCTACAAAACATTCTCTGCGAATGCACTTTATTAATGTGCATAACATAACATAATTTTGACATAACAATCACTGCGGATAAACTTTATTAATGTGCAGTATAAGGTTATCATTTTGACATAACATCACTGCGGATGAACTTTATTAATGTGCAGTATAAGGTTATCATTTTGACATAACAATCACTGCGAATGCACTTTATTAATGTGCATAACATAACATAATTTTGACATAACAATCACTGCGGATAAACTTTATTAATGTGCAGTATAAGGTTATCATTTTGACATAACATCACTGCGGATGAACTTTATTAATGTGCAGTATAAGGTTATCATTTTGACATAACAATCACTGCGGATGAACTTTATCAATGTGCAGTATAAGGTTATCATTTTGACATAACAATCACTGCGGATGAACTTTATCAATGTGCAGTATAAGGTTATCATTTTGACATAACAATCACTGTTGATGAACTTTATTAATGTGTACTATAAGGTTATCATTTTGACATAACAATCACTGCGGATGAACTTTATTAATGTGTACTACTACTAAAAAGTTATCATTTTGACATAACAATCACTGCTGATGAACTTTATTAATGTGCAGTATAAGGTAATCACTTTGACATAACAATCACTGCGGATGAACTTTATTAATGTGTACTTTAAGGTTATCACTTCTACAAAATGTTAGATCACAAAAGGAGCATTTTACTCGAATCTTTAGATGTACCACTTCAATATGACGTCTAACATTTCTTTTGCTTGAAAACGTAACGCCACACGCTGGACAACAATTTATTCTTCCCTACAAATATAAATAAAACAGTCTTCAGATATTTTCACTAAGCAATAAAACAAAAGAACAGCTTAAGACTGTTTTAAAAACTTTATCTTGAACACTACATAAAGTTATTATTATGATAACGAACATCTACATGCATTGAACGTTTGTTTAAATTAAAAATAGGGCAAACACGTCAAATACAGGAAAACACAATTTTACTGTGAAATATTTATCAGGTTACAAGTTGAATTGTTGAATTTTTAAATTTTTCAGAACTTTATCTGTAGATGACTGAATTGATAAAACACTTGACAACTTGGACCAACCACAGTTTTTTGTGTTTTTTTTTTTAATGAACTGAATGTTACAGAAATGGTCATTACATAAATTATTTGAATTTTTAAATGTGGGACATACTTTTGTAATATTCCATAGACAGGTACACTTGAAGCATTTTTTATCTCAAAATGTTGTATACATGTAGTAACATTCCTTCAAAAATAGCATCTTCGCTAGCCCAGTTGGCACAGGAATTGTAGGATGTTAATTAAACCCCATTTCCATTCATTTCATTTAAAAATATGACAATCACATCCACTTTTAAAGAACACAATTAAACTGTACCAATCAGAAATGTATATCTCTGTAGAACTTGTCTGATCAAGTATGGTAAAAGTAAATAACAGGTAAGACATTTATGACACTTTCAAGATTGAATTATTAACAGTCCTTTAACAATATTACAATCACATCCACTTTACAAGAACACAAACTGTACCAGTCAAAAATATGTGTATGATGCTTGTCTGATGGGATTACAACTTTGACATTCTGTTATCAATAATGTTCGGAACTGTTCTGTATAATTGTATAACTCAATTTTTCAGATAATTCAAGAGGGTGAGCTTTGTTCTTGTGTGCTGTTAGTTTATCTTTTCTATAAAAAGTTTCGTTGCAGAAAGGGCATTTCACTCGCAATTTTAGATGAACCGCTTCGACATGCCGTTTTACATTTCTTTTAGATGACAAAGTCAATCCGCACACTGGACAATCTAGTGCTCTGCCCTAAAAATATAAACAAAACAGTGTTCACATATTTTTCACTATAAGACGTTCTGTGAACAGTCTATAACATAGGGTCAATCAAAGTAAATACATTAATTTCAGAAATGTCACTGATAATATAATAACAGTCATATTCTTAAACCATATTGAACTGATTACATGTATGTTTTTTTGTTTATTTTTAAAATCTTCAAAAATGCACTACCGAAATGAATCTCTATTCCTGCACTATGTGAGCTTTGTTCATGTGTGCTTTTAGAGTATCGCCTCTACCAAAACTCTGATTACATAGGGGGCATTGATATCTAATCTTTTGATGTACCACTTCAATATGTCGTTTAATATCCCATTTTCTTGATAACGTAATCCCGCACTCTGGACAACGAGATTTACTGCCCTACAAAAATAAACAAAACACTGTTCTAAGCCATGTACAAGGTTAAAGAAAAAAGAATTGTAATTGCTTGTTCATAAAAAACCCCAAAAAAACACAGGTCACTCTTGTTCATAAAAAAACGTGAAACATGAGTCTTCATAAAAAAAAATCCTGCGACACTATTGTAAAAAGTTCATTTTGTTTTCTTTGTTCAAAGACAATTGTTCATAAAAGACAAAGGACACAACTGTTCATCCAAAACAAAAACTGGTACACAATTGTTTATAAAAAAAACCTAAGAGATTATTTTTTTTAATAAAAAGAATTAATTTTGTTTTCTTTCTTCAACTTCAAGGACAATTGCTCATAAGACACAACTATTTATTAACAAAGAGAACTGGGATACAATTGTTTGTAAAAATTCCTGGGACACTATTGTTCATAAACAAAATCAATTTGTTTTCTTTGTTCACAGACAATTGTTCATAAAAAAACCAAAGGACATAACTGTGCACTTGAACAATCTGGGACACAATTGTTCATGACACAATTTTTCACTGAAAAAGCATGTGACACAACAGAGTATCACATATGTTTGAAAGTACTACTTATTATTTAAAAAGCATTCTATCATACATCAGTTATCTCTGTTGATGAGCTCGTTCCATGTGCTCTTTCAGATGATCGCTTCTACAAAATGTATGGTAACAGAATGAACATTTAACTCTCAACTTGTGATGCACCACTTCAATGTGACGTCTTATGTTCCATTTTCTTGACAGAGTTAAGCCACATTCTGGACAAGAATATTTATTTTCCTACAAAAATAAATAAAAACTTTTCTTATCTTGAATGGTTTTTTTTCTCCATTTTCTTATCTTGAATGGTTTTTTTTCTCCAGACTATCCTATTACATGTAATTTTGATTAAACACATGTACAAGTATGGTAGTTTAACATCACTTTTTGTCTTATTTTCATGGATATGGACAGTGGGAGGAAACTTTAAATCTTCAACAGAATTTTCCACGTCTCTTGAAATCTCTAACATTGGATTGTTCTACCCATTCAATAGAACATTTACCTGAGCAACAACTTTCAAAAGAAACAATGGCTCATTTTCTGTCAATAATATAAAATCAAAATAGAATTTAGTAATTATTTATACCAGATGTCAACAGTAAAACCTGCCACAGCACACAGTACATAAATTTTTTCAACATTCACAACCTCTCAAGTAGCGGCTTTGACCGTGTTGGACCCCCTTACGGAAATCCTTCAGTAAACAGTTTTAACGCTCTTTACAGGAGCCGCAGTAACTCAGTAAGTATGATACTGGCTCCCCAACCAGGAGGTCCAGGGTTCAATCTGTATGTTGGCCGAGAAATGCTCCTTGGGATTTTCCAGCCAATCTAGAAGGGCAGAGGGCCTGACAAGGAAAAGGTGTCTAGCCATTCTTAAGTAAAGAATAACGGAGATACACTTGCATATTCCTTGAAGTTCATGTAAAACAACTTGACTGTTGGAATTTGATAAAGTGTAGGCAGAAATGCTGCTGTTTGGACAAAATCTCCCTAAGAGCACAATGCATGGTGTATGCCCATCTACATTAACCCAGTTGGCACAGAAAAGTAAGATGCGTTAAACCCCATTTCATTAAATGCTCTTTATACTAACCACAAATGCACTTTCTTTGATAAAGAGATAAATTATTAGCCAAGCTACATGTAGCTGTCATTGAAAACATACAAGAACCCGTTTTGTAAGTTTAAATATATATATTATTTTATAAGTTTAAGTAACAGCTACATCTGGTTTAAAACCCCTACAACATTAACATAGGTTTTGTGACAGTTTTCATAAAAATTGTTTTGTTTGTGAAGTAAGTTATACATGTAGAGTAGTCTGTCTATGCTATTCAAACCAATTTCAAAGTGTCATTATTCAGTGTCAATCAAAATTAATTGAATTTCCTCTCGTTTTTGTCTATGATGAAACATTAATATTAATAATTCATTGAAATATTGATAAACAAATATAAGAAAATATTTTGATTTGGAAGATATAACAGTTCTCATAAATCTAACAATGCACTAAATCCAATTCAAAAATTGATCATTTCATGTGCTTGATAAAACCAGCATTCGATGTGACCACTAATAAACTGTTTGTTTTGTTGGGTTTTTTTTTAAAAAACAAAACACATACATTTCTGAAAGTGTTCATATTTCTATTTGAGGCAAGTGTCTCACCAATTTTGAAAGAACCATTTATTGTACGTTGTGGATCTGATTTATATTTAAATAATATCCTCCATATTTTACACAATTTATATCATCATTGATGAGCTTTTCGGATATGTTTTTTAAGATTATCAATTCTAGAAAATGTATTTTTACAAAAAGAACACGCAAATCTGGACTTTTGATGAACCACTTGTGTATGCCGTTGTAAATCCCATTTTCTTGATAACGTAATCCCGCACTCTGGACAACGAAATTTACTGCCCTACAAAAATAAATAAAACTCTTTCAAATTCTTTCGGAGAAGGTAGGTTTTGTAATTGATCTCAATACTCTGTGGGCATAAATATAAATAAGAAAATAATCCATAAAAATATAGAGATTAAATGTTGTGCTAGAAAACAAAAAGAATATTGACACAAATAAAAAACAAGGGGTGATTATTTTCAGGAGCCATGAGAATTTCACCCGGACAGCAGTGTTTTTGCGATTGCCATCTCTTCATTGAATTTTTTCAGTGCCGTTTGAACGACTAGGCAGCCCCACGCACACTACCCATAATAAATTAGAACCCTGAGGGCAGGATTTGATCTGGGGACTTTCTAGTGCCCTGATCAATCGATTATTACAGTGTATAATAGATAGAGGGACAAAACACAATATAGCTGACTGTTAGATCATATTTTACAAATCTGTTGCAGGGTTTGAAATTAACATTTCTGTGGGCTAATTATCTGTGAATAATTTACCCCTAGTTTACCTGTATGGCCTTAACCTCTGTATGGTATATTATTTTGTATCTCATTTCTCATTATGGTATTGTTCCGAAATTTACGTAACTATCTGGAAACCAGAATTAGCAATATTTCGGGGATGGGCATAAATTTTGCTGTATGGCTGGCAAATGTCACAATATACACGTAATATTAATAATGAGTGACAGGACAGTCCTTTACATGTACATGTAGCTTGTTTGAGCAAGTGATGTCAACTGCAACTTCACCTTTTGTTTCATGCATAGACACAGCCCAAGTTACTTGTGAAATAATCCATTAAAATTAACCACTCAGTCGCTAAAGACGGTTGTATTGGAGTATTGAACTATATAATTATTTAATAATTTTTTACCAAAACATGTATTTACATGTATCTGACCAGAAGCGAATCTACTAATGCAATGTATGATTATGGTTAAGACTTTATAGGGAGCTGAACAAGAATAACTTTTCTAGCAAGCTTCTTGTGTTCATGATTCTGCTTATGAGCGGCAGAGAAACAGCTATTAAAAAAAAAAGAAAAAAAAGTGGACAGCTGAAATAAGTCAAATTCAAAATATTTTCACAGTTAATACGTGTACCTTAGAAATATCTCAAACAATGTTTGTATCAAATTTCACACACTTTGTTCAAAAAGACATTATTTGAACTGTCCACAAAAAGATCAGAGAACACGAGCACCGCACTGAATCCTTACTTATCAAATCACTTATGATTGGGACTAGGAGAAGTCAGTTATGAATGTTAAATTTATTTGATACTTTTATTTCAATATACAGTCAACAACAAAAAGTTATCATTAAAAAAACCCCAAATAAAGTTGTATTTAAGTCTCATTTGTTTGATTTAAAAGTAAAAAATAAATAAGAATCATCAACCCCAACCTTCCACACAACTTTCTATATTCATGGCTTTGCCTGTTCTACCCCTTTGTTTTTACAATTACTATTTGTATGTTCATAGAGTTTATCTTTCCGAGAGAAAGTCATTTCACAAAACGGACAAGGATGTCGTATTCCAAGATGAACTCCTCTGAAATGACGAATCAAGCTGTATTTCTTAGTGTACATTTGTCCACACTCTTGACAAGGATATCCCTACAAATAAATAGAAACAGATTCTTTAACTTTTAAATCTTTCGGTGACCAAGTTTTTTTTTTTTAAAAAAAAACCCAGTTTATTGCTAAAATGATGGGTTTTTTTTCATATCTGTAATAAATTGAATGAACAAATCACACTCATAAAACTGGTTTTATTTTGATCCTTCACATGTTCTTGACAGTTTCTGTTTTTAGTCAACAATATAGTTAATCTTTCAAAAACATGTAGGTATTTTTTGATTCAATTGCATTAACAACAAAAACAAATGATGGGCAAAGTATGCCATGTAAATTTTCCACACTATATACAGTTAGTTAATTTAAAATGACGTTCACACACAATATGTTCATAGGTTCACTGAATTCTTTGATTTTCTTTAAAGGCAATACCTTTGAGTAAGCTTACACATTTTTGATATTTCTTACACTGTAACAAAATATATTCACAATTTGATTTTCTTTACACAAATCACACCCTGTATTCATGAGCTCAGAAGGTTCAGACATTCCACAAATCATACTATTACAGCTAGTTCAGTTTAGTATCAAACGATCTTATTCAAATCCTGTTTTAATTCTCCCCTTAAAAACTTAATAACAGTTGCTTCTGATATGCCGGAATAATATTGACTTATGTACTTGTACAACTTTTTAGACCCACAACTACCCTCCATTTTCTGATAAACTTGTTGTATTACTGTTTCATGCAAATAATCCACAATCACTTCTTTGTTTCTAAAAAATAACCGTCCATCAATGCACCTTAACTCGTGCCTGTGTCGATAATAGCGCATGTAGGCAGCAGTTGCCCCCTGGCTTTTTTTACTTTTATTCTGGATGATATCAAGAATTTCATTATACAGTCTCTCGTCCAGTTTACCCAAGTCCCTCTGTTTGCATCTTCCTACCTGCGCCTAAAAATGGAAAAGAAGATTTGTGTCAATAACATAAATCTGTATTTAGAAACTGAACAACAATGTTTCCTATCCTACAAAATCACCCAAATTTGAAGTCTGAAGGAGAAAGCAAAAAACGATCAAGTACAAAGGTCTGTGTTCAGAATCTGAACTACTATGTCTCACATCCTATGAAATCACCCAAATTTGAAGGACAAAGGACAAAGACCTGTATTTGGAAACTCAAGAAGGATGCCTCACATCCTATGAAAAAAAAAGTCCAAAGGAGAAAGCAACAAAGGATAAATATTCATATTCAGAAACTCAACGTCTCACATCCTACGAAATCACGAAAATTAAGTTCAGAGGAGAAAGCAACAAAGATCTGTATTTAGAAATTCAACAATGTCTCACATCCGATGCAATCACCAAAGTTTAAGATCAGGACAAAGCACAAAGTAAAAGAAATGTGTGAACAGTCAAGTCAATGATAGATAACAACTGGTATTTAAATTTGTATGATAACACTAGACAATACTTGCGATATGTAACCTTTGATGATATGCTAAATGATTGATAAAAACAACAACCAATAAAATCTGGTACATGTATGGTACATAAATCTCCAATATAAGTTTGGAAATCTTCAGCTCATTTAATACCGGTTGAATCCTTTTGACATATTGGACTAATCAACTTCAGAGCTTGTCTTTATCAAAAGAAACCTTGACCATGTTTAGTTGAGAGGCATGTAGAAGAAGGTAATCACAGACTGACCAAAAAATTAAGCTGATTGAATGAATTACATGTAACTGTGTGAGATGCAAAAATTCCACCAGATATCAAATTTGATAATCAAAAGCCAATAAATAAATGTGCCATTTACATAGGCAGCAGAACAATCACTCAAAGACAAGCCCTTGGAAAATCAACACCCCCCCCCCCTTCCCCTTGACAGTTGCAGTACTACATACACATGTATCGATTTTGAACTGTCAGGGGATCTTTTACTTGCTGCCAATGGTACATTGTACAGACAGAACATCGATTTTTCTTCCCATCCAAAGGAACATTTAAAAGTAATTAGAACAATCAAGATGAATAATGACATAAATAAAAAAAATATCCCAAGAATGAATGAGGTACCCACCAAGATTTTAGATCATCAACTAAACATTGTAACATGGACAGGAAATCTTCCATTGTTCTTTTCATTAAATAAGCAGATTGTTTTCCCCTCTAGTAGACTGGCTGGAGCTTAACCATGCAATAACTAGACAGTTTCAATGTTATTGCACACTTCTGCTGGTTTACGCCAGTTTTAGTAGAAATCATATAGAGAAGTGGGGTGGGTTTTCTGTGCAATAACAACGAACATGTTGAGCAAGTGTCAATATTATACATGTAAGTCATTTACAGCACACTTCATTCCTTAACAGGTTTAACACCTCGGTCTACGCCCTCTGTGGTTAAACCTGTTAAATCATGTAAGCTGTGCTACAAATATAACTTAATGAACGGTCAAGATGTTTTAGCAGAAGTGGTGGTTTCTTGTCCTTTTTTGCTTTTATCTATTGGCCTTCTCAATGTTTCGTTTATAGCCTGCACAACACTGTTTTTATAGATCAGCTTGTTAGACATTTCTGGATAAATATACACAATATATCTTCTTAAATATGCTTTCCTGGCCACATCTAGCTCTGATTTATTAAATCGACCGCCGCCATGGTAAGAATATTTCTGTCGCAATGCACCATGACCATATATTTCTGGGAACAGTTGTCGCACGAGTTTTATAGCAAATGCAGTTGCTGAATTGCAAGTTGCTCTAATATTCAAAAGTTCTTTGTATGAAAATCTATAAGGTTCTGGGATGTCCTCAAACAGATCATCATTGTTACATGTATCTTCATTGGCTTCATTTTGATCTTTTGATGATTCAGGCTCTGGAGAAGATGGTCTACATGTATCTTCTAATTCTGTTGATATTGAATTCTCTGTTTTTTTATTCTCAGATTTTTTATTCTTTGGTTTCTGTTTTCCAGTAATGAGGAGGATTACATGGGACATCATACCCTTTAGTTCCTGTTGTTCTTTATGAACTGCTGTGAGTTTCTTGGTTATTGTACTAAGCTCTATATCAGTGTCAGATCCAGCTTGTTCATTTGTTCTTGGGACATTGTCTGGTTCAGATGGGGTATTTAGGTACTCTGATGGTGTACCTAGATACTCCTCGGGTGTTGTGACAGCTGTTAGAGATACCAATGATTCATGATGCTGGGATTTGCTAATCACCAACTCAGACTCTGAAACCAATTGCCCAATTCTACTCAGAGACACGTTGTTGGATTGCGAATCTTGAGGCTTTTCAGCTCTACCAGTAAGCTGGGACTGTCTGTCAGATGACACTAGTGGTGTGACCTGGGAATCGGAAGATCTATCAAAAAGATGAAACTGTGCACCACGAAGTAGAGTCGATCTATCCGGCAGATCTGAAGAAACATGTATCTCGGATTGGGTGTCAGGTGGCCTAGGTGGTGTAACAAGAGATTCTGGTGCAGAATTTTTATCGGACTGTGGTTGTGCACAAGAAGATTGCGTTGAGTTAGTAAGAATTTCTGAAACTCTACCAAGGGACTCCCGTGATACGGCCAAAGATTCAGATGATAACTCTGGTGTACCAAGAGGATGTGTTGCTACATGTAGAGCCGGAGTAGATGGCACTGTTTTACGAACAATAGTAGCAGAAACAACTTGACTGCAGGTTTTTTTAGAGGTGGACTTATCTCCAGACGTCCTCTACAAAATAAAATAAACTTCTTTAAGACTTCTAAAATGCATTTGGGAGCAGTTCAGAGTCCATGCAAATATTGCTAATTTGGTCTACAATTTTACTTTTTTCTTTCTTGTACAAGAAGATCTAAACTTAAACCATGGCTATGAAATTCATATTTGATTGCAATGTTAAAGTAGCTAAGTCTCTAACTCAATATCATCCAAAGTCTTGGACATTGAAAACACAAATTATTTGTCAATTTAAATCAACATTGGTGTTGTTATCCTATCGTGAAAAGATGGGCTTCTGATATCCAATATTTAAGACAAAATAAAGATTTTACCATTGGTACACATTTGTAATAAGGGACTCGAAGAATGAGGCTAGACATATTCCACATGTCATGTCAAACGGTGAGGCCATATTCTTACATGTATCTGGAGAGCATGCGCAATAAATACTATCGGTGTAGACTGGAATATTTCGCCGTACATAACTAATTTGAAATTAGAGTAAAAACGGAAACAATTGAATTTAAATCAGTTACCGGTATATACATTCATATTACATTATTATATGCGTTGCGACCCATTTGTGTCAATTTCTAGGTCCCAAATATTAGCGATGTAGCTCCTTTAAATAGATCCTCATGTACTAATAACATATGATATACCATCTAAAATACTGACACCAGTACACTGAACAGAAATTAATTTTTTCATAACACCTTTCTAAAAAAAGAAGGAAAAAACAAGAGAAAAAAACCTTTTAACCTAACAACTTTCTCATAAAACAAAGAAAAACCCCTTTTCACCAAAAATAAAATCATATCATAAAACAAAGGACCCCCACCCACCCACACCCCCTTTCACCAAAACATCTAAAAAAAATCTAGGCTCATCAATTCATGTACAATCGACATGTAACTTCACAGACTTGTTCCTTGGTCAATTTTGCATCACTTCTTTGTAGGCGGCAGGCTGATGGACTGACGTGAATCTTAAACACTTCAGTGAGATAAAAGATTTTAAAAGACAGTTGCACAAATATTTATTCTTTAATTTCTGCATCAAGAAACATGCAATAAATATATCATGCAACAAACATGAATAAATCAATAGGGCATGAATCAATCAAACCAATCAAATAAATATGATGTATAATAGTAATAATAATACATTTCTATACTGCATAATATCCACATTAATTTGCTCATTGGTGCTTTGTCACTCTGTCAAACCTAGATATTACAAGTCATGAAGAATGTTTTCAGATTAGATTTGAATAATGAAGTTTGCATATTATTTACATGCAGTTGTTTTCCATACAAGTTTTCGTTTATTTGTGTCTGGACTAAATGTCACTTGATTTTTTTCTTTAAAACAAAAACAAACAATAGAAATCCACTCTTTGATGTCATTTGCACACTCTTTTAAAACTGTCTATACATGTGGGAATGCAGTTTTTCAAATCACAATTTACATGTACTCAAAACTACCCTAGATTCATTTGACTGTGTATAAAGAGTATCAAAAAGATCCCTTACCAAGCCAGCCACTATGTTAGACTCTAGTGTATCAGTATTTTAGCAATTGGCAATAAAAGCCCTTGTGTTTTTTATCACTTATATCACAGCTCAAACTAGTGGGCGAAGCGATGTATGTAGTAATATTGTTATAAGTTAATAAAAACCAACCACATCCACTCTTTGTGCATGGAATCAAAATATGGTACAGTACAGTATACATGTACATGTAGTGTTGATCTACAAATTTATTGATCTTACAAACCTCAATCAATATCCTAAAATACATGTACGTTTGAAAATGTTCCTAAAATAACATCTATTTGCAGTAAGTGACATTATAGAGAGATAAACAGTGGCCAGGATTCAAGAATATTCCAAGTACTGGAGCTTAATCTTATGGCAGCTTTGTCAGGATGTTTGATACCCATTCCTCTATTTTTGTTAATAAGAACTTCAACTTTGTGACTTTATCAAAGAAAGTCTGACCATATAAGTATGGTTACATTAGCAGAGTGTGTTATTAGCAATCTGATCACATTGACAGATAAAGAGATCTTTCTGAAACTGAACATTTCCAACAGTAGAACTGCATGCATTAGTTGCTTCTGTTATTTGGAAATAATGACCAAAATTTAGCAAAACCAAGGCCTGGTATATTTTGATGTAAATGTTTCTAACCATCTTCCCAAGCGGAAAGATAATGCCACCCCCCTCATTATCTTATAAATAAACTAATCACAGTTCCACTTTATCTTACTTAATTAAAGGCCTGATGCGTCATTCACATTTTCGCTAAAATATCAAATCTCCCGGCTTGGATTCAATCGGATTTAAACTAGACCCATCAGGTTTCTCTGCTACCAATAAAATATAGCAGAGTCTTGTTAAACTTCAGCAGTAATATATCAATGAAATTTCAATGTATCATAACTTTGTTAATACTGAACAGAATTGAACCAGAAATTAAACTTTATTATCAAAATTGTAATTTGCGAGGGATTTCTACAGGGCTAAAAGACGCATCGAACCTTTAATCATAACCGTTATATGAATGTTTATCTGAATACAAATTTTACTATTTTAATGGTCACGATAAATTCATAATTGTTTCAATATCATGCAGTTACACAATTGAAATAATTCCCAGCTGTATAGTACATGTAATGTAAATGTAAATGAATGTGATTTATATACTTATGTACACATGTTCGCTTAGATAAATCCCTGGTTGATTCCTAGCTAGACATTTTTCTATAATGCATGCATGTTCTGTCTATTTTCTTCTTGTACATTCGTTCTACTTTAAGTTTGACAAGTACATTTCACTATGATGGGTCTTTCAGTTTTAAATTGTCAGACAATTGAACAGATAAAGTACCAAACTCAGCATACTAGTGTCTGGCTATGAATAACACAGACTAATCTTTGGATATCTAAACTTTTACCAAAGTTTTCTATATTAAACAATGTAAACTTGACATTTTTTCAACACAAACACTTATTATCTGGTTCATTATGCAAGAGGACATTTATAGAATTTTGATATACAGGCTCTTCTCTTCTTAAATCCTTCTGATCATTAAAGAAATGACAAATTCTGTCTATCAGAATAGATTGTTAGATAAAGGGGAGGGAAAGATCACATTTCATGAAATTTTGTATTCTTTTGTTTCGTAAGAAAATGTAATATCAACATTGTTCACAAAGTTTCATGAATGAAGCTTGAAATGATATGGGCCACATGAAAATGTCTAAAATGTACACAGATTCAATTATCTTCCATTACATTTCCTGGAAATCGATTATTTATTAAGAAATCGAAAATAAAATAGAATTATACAAATTTCCAGTTCTTTTTTTTTTTGCTAACCCAGACAATCCATCATTTGGTTGGTGATAAAAAAAAGGCAGGTTGCCAGGCAATAAAACATACACCCACTGCAGTTCAGTCGTCTAAGCAGCAGTCTACAAAGGTTGACAGATTGTGAATCTGTAGGTAGATAATTATAGGTTGCCAAGCAACGAAACATACGCCCACAACAGCTAAGTCGTCTGGGCAGTCAACAAGGGATAGTCGCATATTTGTTCTTTTATAAGTAATGAAAACATTTACAACACACTAAAATCTGATTAACAACCTCTATGTACAGCATTCACAAGATTTTTCAAAGTGATCAATGGCCATAACTCTGGCAGTAATTATCGGAATTCATTGAAAATCAATACGCTTCTTCATCTCATGATCGTAACACTACATGTGTATCAATATAAAGTGATCGAGGAACATAACTCTGGCAGTCATTATCGGAAATTGTTGAAAATCAACAGGCTTCTTCATCTCATGACCTTAAACATGGTGTATAAATTTTTAAGTCAATCGGATATTAACTTTAGAATCTAGAGTGTCCACATGATATTTCAAAGTGATCAAGGTACTGTACATAACTCTGGCAGTAATTATTGGAATTCGCTGAAAATCAATAGGATTCTTCGTCTTATCACATTAAACACTAAAGCCTCCATAAGATATTTCAAAGGGATCAAGGGCAGAAACTCTTGCAGTAATTATCAGAAGTCGTTGAAAATCTATAAGCTTCTTCGACTCATGACATCAAATACTGTGTCCACAAGATATTTCAAAGTGATCAAGGGCCAGTTCACTGTCCGTAATTATTGGAAATTGTTGAAAATCAATAGGCTTCTTTGTCTCATGACCTTAAACACTGTGTATAAATTATAATTTCAAAGTGATCAAGGGCCAGAACACTGGCCGTAATTATTGGAAATTGTTGAAAATCAATAGGCTTCTTTGTCTCATGACCTTAAACACTGTGTATAAATTATAAATCTAAAGTCAATCGGATATTAACTTTAGCCTTCTTCTTTGTAGAGTGTCCACAAGAGTTTTTTAGAGTGATCAAGGGCCATAACTCTGGCAGTAATTGCTGGAAATTTTTGAAAATCAATAGGCTTCATCGTCTTATGATCTTAAACATTGAGATAAATTTAAAGTCTATCAGATATTATTATTACATGTAACTTTAGCCCATATAGCATCCACAAGCTATCGTGGACACCAGACCAACGGACTGGGGCGATGGCAATATACGACCACATTTCAATGTGGGTTCTTTCTGTATAACATCATTGGAGATTTCACATGATTCTATGACATAATCAAGGCCAAAAACTTGATAATTATCAGAAATTGTTCAATAGAATTCTTCATTTCAATGTCAGGTCTAAATAATGCATTTTCATTCACAGGATTGAGTTACATGTAAATATAAATAACTCAAGGAGTAACAAGAAATTGAACGACAAATGTAGTTTGTGCACAAGAAATTGTGGACGGACGGATGAGGATGACGCTAAAATATATAACCACATTCTAGAATCTAATGTACTGGTAGGCATATGAAAAATATTAAATAAATCCATCTTGGCCTTGTTCCACAGTATGATTTGAAATATATATGTACATGTACATGTACTAAGAGGAAATGAACCTGTGTACCTTTAAGAACAATCCTTCTTTCCTTGTTTCATAAGATTGATGTTCTTCCCACAAACAAAATCTAATATTTTTTATTCAAATGTTTTAAAATCAACATATGGCTATGAGCCGTATAGAACATTTAAAAAGGACAAAATAAAGTGGAATCTTCTGCTAACTATGTCTATTAGAATTTCTGTTGTGGGAGATAATCAAGATTTTGAAATAAAGGAAAATAAAATTCAAGCATAACAATAAAAAAAAAGATTGTGTGAATATCAGTAGACATAAATTTTTAAATTCAACAAAAATAATCTTTAATTAGAACAACTATAAAGTCTATTTTAATTCTCATCTTCATTATCATTAACCTGGTTGGTGAACAACTGTACATGTTCATTTAATTTCCATTTTAATTTGTAGTACCAGTACATGTAGTGTATAGTGTACATGTACACTGATAATGATAATCAAAAACCACATCAAAATTTCACTGATCATCATGTGCATTTTTCGGACAATATCTAATTTTTTATGGCTTAATCCATGCTAAAATATTCTCAAATTGATTATTTAACATTTAATTTAGAAAACAATATCCACAATACCAACGATAGATAATCTCCAGGCTTGGATTTAACTGAATTCAAAAGACTATTGCAAAAATTTTACGTGTACATGTAGGTGGCACTGACTTGGTTTGATCATATTCTGTTTTAATATCGTCTGCACAGGATGCCAAAAGTTTTGAATTTTCAATTCATCATATCTTTGTACATACTGAATGGAATTACTGTAAACCATTTTAGGGCCTACATGTATATACCTTTTCGAGATTCAACTTGCCTAATACTGTAGCTTACAAGGAATTCAAAATTCCTCAAACGATAATTAGAGATTTAATTTCAAGCACTAATGAACTAGTAACAGAAATTCTTATTTTTGTTCCAGCCATTTATTCTTAATATAATAATATCAATAGAACACAGAGGGTTTGTGCTTGAATTTGTGCTGGACATTGTCTGTGAAGACAGGTGCCTTGTTTCCAGGCTAGAATGTAGGATTGATTCATTATTACTGAGACTTTATTTAACAAATCAAATTTAAGTTTATACCTACTGATATTCATGGAATTTAAGTATAAAACCAAGAAGAAATGTCACCGGCTTCCACATACAAAAGTGTTGGATGTACTGTAAACATTTGTAATGCAATACTTTATTCATATCTTATGTCTTTGATCCTTTGGTGCTTAAAGATGCATTATGCAAGATTTAGATAAAGAGCTGACAGTTCTTGTTGTTACAATAATAGTATAAAACTAGATAATGAAAAAGGAATAACGACATTGTTACGATAACGGATAATCCATTTCTAAATAAAATTTTCAAATGGTGATCGTGTTTAATTCCATTAAAAATCACAAACATCTGATAATCCAGAGAGTTCATTATGGGCTTGTCATGTGAATAAATGTCTAAATACTAAGTTATATAACATTTGATTGAGGCCAAAAAAAAAACTGGAATAGGCAGATTTACATGTAACTCTTACATGTACATGTACATAATGCATCTTTAAATTGTATTTATAACTGTATTAATTAAATACATGTGTACATGTATATCTTTTCGATCATTTGCATTTTAAAGCCATTCAAATTCTTGAATTTGACAGGAAAAGAACTATGCAGTCAAGGTGGATTTTTCCATTTTTCTCTTAAGTCTCATTGTAACCAGTTACTGTAGGATTATGGTGCCCTTTTTGTTATTTTTTTTAAATAATAAGCATGTCGAGTTTGATGTTCCCATGTCATTTCTCATTATGGGAATTCACATACATTTAGGCAAAAAATTATTGTTGAGCCTTTCGTATTACGGAACTGGGAGAATCGAAATTGCTTGTTTCTGAACTGGGAAAATTGATATTGATTTTTGCAGCGTATGGAGAATCGATACTGATTTTTGCAGAATTGGGAGTACTTGTTTTGCAGAATTGTAAGAACTGATTTTTGCAGAATTGGTAGTATTGATATAGATTTTTTTCTGAATTGGGGGAAATTATATTGACTTTTGCAGAATTGGGGGAACTGATATTGATTTTTTTGCAGAACACCGAGATACTTCAATATCGCAATTTGCTTACCTGGGTAGTGTAACCCCAAAGAAAAGCATTAATGTCATTGTCTTTGATAGATATCTTGTAACTGAATTTTACTTATTAAAACCAAAACCCTTATTTCTGTCTGCAGTATCATCGACTGTAATTTCTTTTTAAAATCATATCTGAGAATATGTATCTATATGTATGTAATTTGTATTGCCTGTGCTGTATACTTGTTTTGCTCTGTGTTAAGTTTAACAGTGTCAATTCGTCTTAAATTAATATGGAAGCTGGTGAAATTTATTGTTGGTTTTATACAGTAGATAAACAAATCATTACTTACCATTGCTGTGTTATTTAAACCATCACTGCTTGTGCCGGCCACTGTAAATAAATACATCAGCATGTTAATGTTATATACAATACAAACATGTACACATGTACATTATGGAACCTGTACCGGTATGTACAATTACATACTGGAACGTACTATAATCAAACAACTTAAAGGTGCTATAGGAATCCCTTACAACTAAAATATTGTTAACGTTTGATCTCTAATAAGAATATCAGTCTAAAAATGGTTTAATTCCGTTCAGTATTTTAAATGTTATGATAATTTGAAATTTCATCCATGTAAGTTGCTCGGGCGTAACAAGACGCCACCATCTTTTATCAATAGATTACTGTATCTAGTGTTGTTATTTTGATGTCACTGATCTATGCTGTTCAAGCCTAACAGTAATGGAGAAACCTGATGGGACATGCTCGTTTTTCTAATTCAAATGTGTCTTTTTGAAAATGAATTTTACATTTAGAATACAAGAATACTGAATTAAACTATACTCTTCAAAAAAAAAATAGGGGATATTCAGAAACAATACAAAACTGCAGAAATGCACTGTGGAGGTAACCAGTGTATGTTAATCACAAGCCTACACATGAACATAAACAGTTCATAAGGGCAGCTTATCTGATGGCCCCATTTCACTCGCAAAGAGATACACCGTCAAAAGTGAAAATGGATGTTTTTGATTTTTGTCTTAATAATGAGTAATTGCTCCACCAATCCTCAGACATTCAGCAATTCGTCATGGCATGCTCCTAATCAACTGTCCAATTACGATTTGGGGCAATCTGACCCACTCCTCTTGCAGTGCCACGGCCAATTGTTGCAGTGTTGTCGATTGACGTTGACGAACACATCTCTCGGTCAAATTAAACATAACACACTAAAGCAATGATACGCTAAACAGTAAATCTTATGCAAGAACCGATAGGAAAGCAAACATGGATAAACCAGCACGCGGCAGTTTTCATTAACTATTCCTTGAGGTGTCAAATTTGACAATGAACCCCTCCCACGTGTATGCCGCTATTGCGCATGGCATGTGCAGCTCAGTCACCAGTGGTTCTGTTTGGGCGATAAGTTCTTCATCTGTGAACATACTCTCAAAGCATGTCAAATGTCCATGACTATTTATCATATCGCAACCTGCATACGTATTTGCATTTCTATATCCCCTACTTTTTTTAAGAGTATTTAAAATATCAGTGTTGTCAGAGTATTTTTTGATGATTTTCCTTTCTGTGGAGGTTTTATTTCGAAAATCAAAATATTTCGGCCAGCTCTAGCTGTACACTTTTAATGACATGCTATAAACAAATTATAAATTTCTATTTCTGTATGTGGGCTATTTTCACAAAAAAGTACAAATAACGGTAAGACAAATTTTGAAAAGTAATTATTAATTTTTAAGGAAATTTTCACTGTATTCTTTTCTTTAGGTTTATACAGTAACTCAAGAGGAAGTACATGTATATGCAATAGCCATGCAGGACTCTCAAAAATTACAGAAATGTAACAAAATCAAATTTGTAAGAATGTCTTTTCAGTTATTACTATGTAAAAGACCATATTAACAGTAAAGACATAACGAAAAAGACAAAATGACAGATCAGAGGAATATTGTCTTACAAAGCCTGAATTACTACCTGACAATTTCTGCCTTATTTCCATGCTTGGTTTTATAGTATACATGTAGCTTTCTGACAAAAAATGGACACAAATCCTACCTGGCACATAAGCAGAAACTTGACCACTGACACCAGATAAATTAGGAATGTCTAAACTATAACTTTGATTAGAATTATTTGATTCATTTATATGTACACCTCCCACAGGATAGAGTCCGACAGTTTGTTCACGTAAACTAGCAAAGAACTCATCATCATTTGATTCACCGGTTATACTATCATCACCAGTACGCTGCGATTGACCTGCAAATATACAAATAATACAATAATTCACACCATTTACGATAACATGATATACATGTATGCTAATGTTGTCGATAGCGATAGGGTTGAGTTTCTAGTCACTCATGATGGCATAGGATTCAAAAGCCAGGTAGAGTAAGGAACATTTATTCGCCTTTTTTAAAGGGAAATATTCTGCGGAGTTACCCACCGCCCCTGCAATGAACGAACCCTGTTGATTCTAGAACAAGGAATTGGTCCCCAAGTGGTACTCATCTTGTTCTTCAGCGAGACGCCCATTGAAAAAAAAACTATGGCTTTGCCAATTCATGAAACTTGGCATGGTTATTCCTTGGCATGGAATAAAAGTAATTTTCCAGTGTGATTTGTATGCAGGACGAGTCGATCAGATGGCACTAAAAACTAATGTCGCATGTACACGACGGCGTGCAGTGACCATCACATAATAGACCCTGTGACGGTTGGAAATCGAATTAAGAGTAGGTCATAGTGCTGCTGTTCGGTCAAAATTTCCATCATAGCCCAGTCAGTGCAGAAAAGTAGGATGTTAAACCCCATTTCATTTCATTTATTCACGAAAACTTTAACTAAAATATTTTAAGAATGCAGCCTTTCTATTGGCTAAGAAGAGCAAATATTTGTACTTTGAGATTTTAAACCACAGTCAATGAAAAGGCTGCATCCATAAACTAAATGTATTACAGTTTAAGTTTTCATGAATAAGAACCCTGGTACATGTATAAATAAAACTCACTAGAAGCACCATATAGACTTTCATCACCCTCAGAGTTTTTAATTTCATGTTTGACTCTTGATAAATCGACATTATGTATATCTTTTGATGGTGATGTTTCTGTGTTCTTCTGTGTATCATTTTCTTCTTCCGTTTCTTCTAAAGATTCGTTAACACTATTATTAGCACTCTCTCCTTCCTCGTAACCATCTGCTTTAAAAACTTCAAAATCGTCAAATTTTTCAACCGCAGTCTGACCTGTTGGGTCAATGGGCGGCACACGATTTTCAATGTTGGATTCACCAGATGGTGATTTTTCAGGCGTGGCAAATGTCACTGTTATATCAGAGTCAATATCTATTGGACTAGAGGGGGTGGTGCTAATATTTACTGGATTATCAACAAGTCTCTGAACTTTGGAATTTGGTGAATAATGTCTTTGGGATGGAAGTCGCCTTTTAGCAACAGGTTTGTGAAATGGAGAAAACTGAGCACCTTGACGGTGTACACCTTGTTTATATGGACTCCCACCCATCATTGATGCACGTAAGTTTTCCTCTGTTAAGTCAACACTGATATCATATCGAGTTTTTCCCAACACATTTGGAGTGGGAGGAGGAAGAGGTCTATCTACATTTTTCTTTGGTGTTTTTTGTTGGGGATCAGTGGCATAAAAACTTTTACTGATAAATGTTGTTGAAGATTCATCACTTTTGGACACTTTTTCATTGACGATATAATTAAATTCTGAGTTACTGTCCACAGTTAAATATAAATGGCCCACAACTTTCACATTTTTATCAAAATCAACATGGCCATGACACACAGCTTGTAAGTTCTTCACCAGGGCAGAAATAAACTGGTTAGCAGATCTTTCGCTTGACATTTTTTCCTCCAATAAACTTTAAAAGCTTACAGTTAACAATTCTCTCTTATGCATGTACCTTTAGCTTTCAACAAACCTACAAAAAAAGATCAAACAAGTTTCATTAATAATACAAAATATTATTGGAAAGGACAGTACATGTACACGCTACATGTATCCATCATTATCAAAACTACATTTTCTTCCATTTCTGAGATTTGGAAAATCTTACTTCAAATAATTTTAGTGAACCAACTGAACAAAAGAAATGTTGTTTTTTTTATATTCTAATAATACTTAGTACCCATGTAACTATTTCTTAACCATCTAAAAGCATTCTATATGGATAATGAATAATTATATGATTTAAAGAGAATCTGAAGGGTATGCTACATGTACATCAGGTTGGAAATAATCAAATATACATATGAAATCATTTACAGAAATTTTAAAACATTGTTTAAAATTATAAATAACAATCTAATTGTAAATTAAAAGGTTTAATTTACATTGAAAATAGTGGAGACAAATTCTGTTAAAGGGACAGTATGGCAATTAGATAAAGAATGGCAGTTCTCACTATAATAGTTAACCAGCGGCTGCCAGGCAGGATACGCCCACATTTTCGAGAGATGGATAGAGAACAAGCTAACAAGAAAGTGATTTTTCCTACAATCAAGGGCCATAATTCAGGAAATTACAATTCGATATGCACATATATCGAAAGGAACTGAGATCTTTGTGTTATAAACTTACATTTCAAGTTTCAACAAAATCGGATAAAAATTGTGACCTCTATAGGGTCCACAACCTTGATATACCATATTTTTACGCTATTTGAGAACGAACGGCAGCCATTTTGTCTGTCAATTTTGGGGCGATTTTCGCAAAATTCAAACTCAACTGTCCTTAGGGTGGAAGGGTAATATAATAATACGGTTTTTTAAATCGGATAAAAATTATGACCTCTAATGGGTCCACAAGCTAAAAACATGATTTTTCGTACAATCCGGGGCCATAATTCAGAAAGTTACAGTCCGATATGGGCAAATATAGAAATGAACCGAGATCTTTGGTTTATAAACTTATATTTCAAGTTTCAACAAAATCGGATAAAAATTGTGACCTCTATAGGGTCCACAACCTTGATATACCATATTTTTACGCTATTTGAGAATGAACGGCGGCCATTTTGTCTGTCAATTTTGGGCCGATTTTCATGAAATTCAAACTCAGTCATCCTTAGGGTGTAACGGTGATATAATAATACGTTTTTTTAAATCGGATAAAAATTATGACCTCTATAGGGTCCACAAGCTAAAAACGCGATTTTTCGTACAATCAGGGGCCATAATTCAGGAAATTACGGTCCGATATGCGTGAATATTAAAAGTAACCGTGATCTTTGGGTTATAGACTTACATCTCAAGTTTCAACAAAATCGGATAAAAATTGTGACCTCTATAGGGTCCACAACCTTGATATACCATTTTCTTACGCTATTTGAGAACGAACGGCGGCCATTTTGTCTGTCAATTTTGGGTCGATTTCCACGAAATTCGAATTCAGTCGTCCCTAGGGTGTAACGGTGATATAATAATCCGTTTTTTTAAATCGGGTAAAAATTATGACTTCTATAGGGTCCACAAGCTAAAAACGTGATTTTTCGTACAATCAGGGGTCATAATTCAGGAAGTTACGGTCCGATATGCACGAATATCGAAAGGAACCGAGATCTTTGGGTTATAAACTTACATTTCAAGTTTCAACAAAATCGGATAAAAATTGTGACCCCTATAGGGTCCACAACCTTGATATACCATATTCTTACGCTATTTAGGAACGAATGGCGGCCATTTTGTCTGTCAATTTTGGGCCGATTTTCACGAAATTCGAACTCAGTCATCCTTAGGGTGTAACGGTGATATAATAGAACGTTTTTTTAAATCGGATAAAAATTATGACTTCTATAGGGTCCACAATCTAAAAACGTGATTTTTCGTACAATCAGGGGCCATAATTCAGGAAGTTACTGTCCGATATGCGCAAATATCGAAAGGAACTGAGATCTTTGGGTTATAAACTTACATTTCAAGTTTCAACAAAATCGGATAAAAATTGTGACCTCTATAGGGTCCACAAGCTAAAAACGTGATTTTTCGTACAAACAGGGGCGACGGCATAATACGTCCACATGAAAATGTGGGCGTATAAAAATTAGATAATGTAAAGGGAATATGCTGAAAATTTCAGTCAAATTTCTCCACTCTGAACCAAAAGATTCCTTGGCAGTTGGATTTCGATATAAGAGTAGGCCAAAAATAGTGCTGCTGCCCGGGCAAAATTTCGCTCATAGCACACTGTATGGCATACATGTATGCCCGTCTTCATTAGCCCAGTAGGAGCAGAACAGTAGGACGTTAAACCCCATTTTATTTCATATAAAGGATGTCTTTTCATTTCACCGAAGTTAATTGTAGACATTGCTAATGCTATGTAAATTACCGGTATAAATAGCATTGGATTGATAATTGAACAACAAATATTTCATTCTCTGTTACCGCAATAAATTATGGTAGCACAATGTTTCGGTTCTGCGTCCTTTCAGACTCCATACATGTACAATTGACTGTTCAGACTTCATAATGACAAGGTATCGCACCCTTTTTCGGACAATAATAAACGATGAATAAATAAAACATCGTTCAAAGATTTGTGTTATTTAGTGATACATGGAGTTCTTTTATCAAATTGGTAGTAAACTAGCTTGATTGACCTATCACGGCCGAGGTTTTTATAATTGTACATGCCTAAAGTCTTTTATCAAACAGAATAATTGCCATCAACACGATACGGCAGTGATTATCAAAGAGTGACAACTCACGTTTTTCCTCATCCAACAAAGATTTCTTTGCACATACATGTACTGTAATGACATGGGATTATCCGCTAATTGGCTTTAATCATCCCGCTTTTATCATTGCCATTTCTAATATTTTCGGAAAAGACTTTTCTTTGCATGTACTAATTTGTCAATTGATACTGCCTTCTATTGTTCGCTTATCCAGGTTTGCATGTCAAAGTGCAGCTTTGTAGGGACTTGTAATAACCGTGCCTGTCATGTAAATATTTTTGTGTGTGTTTGAGTAGATCATTTTCAAATAAATTCATCAGTACATTATTCTTTTCTTTTAAACTATATTACCTTTACTGGAAAAGATGTTTATCACAGAACCATAAGTGCAATAAATGTTTTATCGTTTAATAGAGCCTTTTAATAACCACATAATTATTTCATGGCAATATTTTTTTTTCATGTTTTGGGTTTGCTTAATTCAAATAAATTCCTCTGCTATTCTTATTTATACAAAGAAACATATACAAAGAAACATTCAACAATGGAAATATTGCTGTTCCTTTAATTTACACAGGATTACAGATCTATAAAAGATTTAAGAAATAAAAACACTGCTGATTGACAACTCGCGTGTTTTCTCATCCACCAAAGAACATTATTTTTGCAAACATTATAAGCACTTGAAATATTTCCTTAATTAAGACTACAGAGTACAGGTCTATACTGTGCGTGCAGCATGATGATGAACGGTAAATTTTACCTGCATGTTATTTTTGTAAAATTGTTTTTGGTTCATCATGAACTTGTTTGAACCTTTTAAGTCCGAAACGTCACCAACCCGAGCCCCAGATATCACCTTCCCAAGTCTAATAACTCGAGATCACATTTGTTTAGTCCAAAAGAGGTTCTAAGTCAGAAATATCGTGGGACCAAAATGTCATGTAATCGGTAAATTGTGTAAATAAAAAAAAATAATAGGCTCCTATAGACCTAAAAAAGATAATTTCAATTTGATTCAATTTGATATAGGCTACTAGCCTGTAGGCTACTACTGTACTGGTCTGGGTCAACGATAAAATCAGTTTCTTCTTCATTTCTTGTAATAAAAAAAAAACCGAAAGAAAAGAATTAAAAAGATTAATAATTCGATTTGATTTATGGTACCAACTTCTGACATATAAGGTCTTCTGAAAGGGATTTGCTTTTAGGTACCGGTAGGCTAAAGGTAACCGGCTCATGATTTGCATTACAAAGGTTTGACCTACTCAGCACAAGTTGCAACACCGTTGAACAAATATGGCTGCTCGTGTGTTTGAGGCACAAAAACTTACCGTTAACTTATAACGGATTCTGTAATTCATTAGCATACATTTGATACACTATTTGGATATTGCTGTGCGCGACAGTTATAAGTTTACATAAAATTTGATTACGTATGCATAAGAGGTCTTTATATTCTGAATAACAAAGAAATTCCTGGCGCAAATATTCCCTTCTTTCTCATGGCCTTCTTTCGGTCGTTTCCGGTTTATTACGCCGAGGCATTCTATAAGGATTGAAGATGGACTACGGAAGGTGTCTCCTTATTTTAGACGTAATTTATATTTTCATTGCAAAAAATGTTTTCCTTTTCCCTTCTCTTTAAACAGATGTAATCAAATGGAATCAAACAAGAGTGAATGGTTTTGTGTTGTCAATGAAGGGGAAACGCAATTTTGTCAAATCCAATGCGTAGTCAATCCGTAAATTTTAATGAACAGGCGGAAAGAACCGAGCGATTGTTCAGCAAAATACAGGAAACGTTGCTTGTGGACGTAAATGTTTCCAAGATCTGCAACCGTTTGTATTTGAAGCTTTTCATACATGTATTGCACTAGGCTACTTAATAGTAGTTTGAGTATGGGCATCTACATGTAGGCTAAAGGTAATAATGATAATGCACACCGGTAAATTTCCGCCACCGGTACAAAACAAACTGAAACTGGTACTAGCGCCCTAAGAAAAATAAACAACAAAGCAATTAAAATTGCTTTAGATATACACATCTACTAGATATCTAACAAAACATAAATTTTATGAATTCAGAATACTTATCACATAAACATTAGAATAAAATGCAAGTAGTAATAAAACTAGATCTACCCAATTTAGCTGCTGGTAGATAGTCATAGACTAGAGAGTAGCTAGTATCTACATGTAAAAGAAGAAACATAGTAGACTACAAACAAGCTTAATCTTTGTTATTATTATCATTCATTGTTATTTTGTAGATTAAAAACTGCATGATTAGGACTGCATGCTAAGTAGGTAGTATGTTGAATAGGTACCATACAAAAAAATAGAAATTGACATTATTTGTATGGCACTGGATATAAGACCGAACAGGCTTTCCCAAAGAACTGGACGTGATTCCTGATTGGTTGGTGGTACCATGCCCTCTTGTTTCCTCCCACTGCTAAAGACCCCTATGCACAAGCAAATTATTGGAATAAATTTATGGAACCATATGTTAATACAAAAATTTGTGTTGAGTGGATGTTAAACCCCATTTCTCTCTTTCTCTCTGCTTGGTTGAAATGGGGTTTACTACTGTTCTGCAGGTTGATTTTGTGATCTGGATCCCATCAACTGAAATCTGGCAAACCAGCGAACTGTTGTTGTTTTTAGCTAAAAATGAAAGTAGACGAAACCCTAACCATGCCATAGACAGTACCGGTAGGCCTGTTGTCAATTTACTGACAAGATAGTATTACATGACACAGCCGTCAAGAATCACTACCTCTGTAACTGATTAAATTGGCTCAAAACAATGATATCCATTGGTTGTTAGAATTTACAAAATGCTTATTATTTCGTCTTGAATCATGAGGCTTACCATAGCTTTTTTCTTCTTATATTAATTGAAGCTTTTCATTATGTTTCATGAGTACTACACAGGTTGTTCAATTCAAATTAAATGTTATTAATTTCATTTCAGACAATTGTTTGTTTTTACCAAAACTATAAAAAATGGCAGATATAAAAGCCACCCAGTTTATTTCTGCACTGGTGAAGAATTTACAAGCTGTGTGTCATGGCCATGTTGAATTTGATGAAAACATTAAAGTTGTTGGCCATCTTTTTCTGACTGTGGACAGCGGCACAGAATTTAATTATATTCTAAATGAAAAAGTTTCCAAAACTGATCATTCGAGTATAACCTTCAAAAGCAGAAGTTTTTATGCTACAGATCCTCATCCGAAACCGGGAGTTAACCAACCAGGGGGCAATGAGAGACCACTTAAGCCACCCATAAATGATCCGCGCTATTGGTCGAATCAATATGGTGCTATGGACAAGAAGCCCCAAATCATTTCGCCTCACCCTGCATTACCAATGCGAGATACTCATTTAAGTGGACATGGTGGTCAAATTCCTCAAAATAGAACTGTTCAGAAACGATCACCACAAAGAAATCCATCACCTCAAAGATTTTCTAAGGTGCAAAGACTGTCTGAAGAATCTTCGTCAAAAAGTATTGTTAAACGCCCAGGGACCTATGATCAAAACCGAATTACAGACTATGAACAAAGTCGTGAATCTTGTCTGTCAATGCCTAAAAGTGGGAAGTCTGCATCACCGCTAATGGGTGAGGATTCAGGAGATGAAAGAGACTATGATTCCGAAATCCATTATACGGAAGTGCAGAAAAAATTAATAAAGCAAGAAAAAATGAAAATGACACTCGAAAATAAAATTAAATCCGAACCAAATTCCATTAAAGATCCCATAGCTAGTATTAAACCTAAAGTTAGTCATTCTCATCTAGTAATTAACCCTCCTTCCTCTGTATCCAAACCAGTAGCTCAACCATCATCCAGTACATGTACATCCAAGTCCTCCATTGATAATCAGATTATTGACGTTGATTTAACTAAAGTGAAGGAGGAACCCCAAGACGAGGGCTATAATAATGCTGAAAAAGCAGCTGCCTATGCCAAAGTTCAGGATCGGGGCCAGCATTGGCAACATGGAATTGGATCACAACCACAAGGTAATGCATTCTTAAGGCCCCTACCAACCTCCATTCAATTTATTCATGCTCATTCATTTGTTAGAACATCCTCATTCATGCAGTTCTTTATTTGGTGTGCTTATGACTTTGACATGTCACATAGACCAGTTGTAGTCATGTTGTTAAAAACAAAAGTTTGCTTAATACATCACCAGATGAAATATTAACATTAAAATTTGAAAGCATATTTTGGATTTTTAAAAACGAAATAGATGTGATTAGACAATGATTAATATGTTGTCTTTTTCATAAAGAATCCATCTGTCACTTTGAGATTTATATGGTAATTTTCCACCTACTCTTTTGTCAGATTCTAATTACCAAGGGATCTTTAATGTGTGTGATACAAATTTGTACACAGGACGTTATTTTTTTGTCCCAACCAAATGACTAGATACCCTTTCCTTGTGAGTCCGCAGCACCACCATTCACAAGTGGAAACCAAGCTTGAGAAATTCTAAAGAATCTTCTTGGTCAATGTCAGTATTCATTCAAACCCGATACATTCTGGTTGTGTGTCCTGTGTCCTTCCCCCCCCCCCTACCACCGCTTTTAGGATTTGTCTACATGTAGCTAGTACCAAGCAAGGAAAAATGACTATTGGGATGGGATGGAAACCAATGTCCATAGAGCAATTTTAATTCGATGAAGAGTGGGTTGAAATCCGGCTGCCCATGCAGATTGCAGAATGCCCATCATAGTCTTCATTTGCCCGGTTGGTGCACAATAGTAAGACATTTAACCACATTTTATTTCATTTCTGTTAGCTGAATCTTATACTGTGTTGACGTTTTGTAGAAAAAGAAATACATGGATTGATTACCGGTATAAGGACAGTCCCAGTAATTGACTAAGAAGACACAGGGAAGGTTTCAGGTCTACATTTTTCAAGATCAGATTAAGGGGAAGGCTGACTGAGCTACAGCCAGACGACCCCAAATTTTATAATTATTTGTTATGCTGTATATGTTTGTGCCAAATAAACCTGTCTACCATACTGATATACAAATTGCATTTGTGAGAGTATGACGGACAATGACCAGAGTATGCCCCATTTTCACACTGTTGATGCATGGGCGTCAGTTACATTTTCAGCCAGATGCCCAATACAAGCTTAATCCAACTCTGTGTGATTTGAATATTTTGTATTGCAGGACAAGGAGATTATGGGGAAGAGGGTTATGATGAAGAAGGGTATGAGGAAGGGTATGAAGGTGATGGTTATGAAGAAGGGTACGAAGTTGAAGGATATGAGGGAGATGAATACGAAGGAGATGAATATTTTAGCACATCACAAGATGGGTCTATTGGTTTATATCCCATTGGTTTTGCTCAAAGAAACGAAGGTCAGTCATCTGGTCAGGGTGGTCAGATGATAAAAACAAGTGTCAATCAACAAATGATGTCTAATCAGATGATGCAGTCTGGTCAGATGTCACAGGGTATGTACATTTATGAGTTCAGTTTGCAGGGCTCCTGTTTTGAAGTCATTTTTGCGAACCTTGATTTAATGACAATGAAATTGACTTGCTGAAGAACTTGCCTGTCAGTCAATTTATATGCCATAAAATTATAATTGCAAAGAATTTAACCTTGAACACGATATGGTGGTTGGCCGAATGGTTAATGCATGTGCATTGCATCATAAGGTCTGTCATTGAGTTAAGTGGTGTGGTTTTGATTCCCCGCTTGTACGTGACCACGTGTAGGGTCACCTATCTAACCTTGTGGTTTTTCTCTGGGTCCTCTGGTTGACTCCCATGTTGAATTAGTGAAATAAAATTGAACCATATTTTTGTCCTGAAATGACATAGTTTGTGCCAGGGGTTAAACCATCTCTATCTCTCTCTCTCTCTCTCTCTCTCTCTATTTCTCTTTTTAAACACAATAAATACAGATATATTTTTAGCTTTTATGTGTAGTGTATGCGATAATACTAAAATTGTCATATTCTCTGAAATCATAAATAAACAAAATATGTTAAAAAGATCGACTGACAAACGTTTGAAGTTGAATTCCTGCTATATATACTATTGACTTTAGAATTATATTCGGGTGTCACTGTGGCTTATTTAAAAAGACACCAACTCATTGATCTGGGGTTGATCCTGGTCTTTATAAATGTTGAATGGAACTGGGCCATTTTTGGACTGATGCCTTTTAGAAATCAGTGATTCATCTTTCACAATATCATACTTTGCAAGTTATTAGACATCCCTGAAATGAAAGTCATAGATATTAGGTTGAATTTTACCCACTCCGCAAATCATTGAAACACTATTTACTTTTCATGTCACGCATAAGGGAGTCATGTCATGGGATTCAAAAGCATTGGCAGAGTAAAAAACATGTAGCCTGGGGACATTTGCAAACTGAAGTCTCCTTCAGGGATGCTGTTTGAAAATTTTGCTTGGCAGACATTTTTATTTGTTGTTGTTTTTTAAATCAAGTGTGCAATTGATATCACTGTTAGGCAAGATTGGTACTCTACAGTTGAAACAACATAATGTTTTGTATTTTTGTCTTTCTGTTTTAGGTCCAGGAAGAGTAGGAAGTACGCTAACTCAGGTAAGATATTTCTCTTTTCGACAACGCATGAATGAATAGAATCCTTAGTTTGAATGAATTATCTTCAGTATGTATGACATATGGATGTTTTCATTGTATGGTAATGGATGGGAATTTCAATGCATAAAAAACAAAAATGTTCAGGATGGTGGACAACCTTCAGAACTTCTGGCATAAATTAAACAATCTTGTCGTTCAAGTGTGCAGAAATATGGTGTCCATCTGTCTGTGCCATCAGCAGATTTACAGCTTTAGAATTAAGGTAATATCTCAGAAGTTTAACAAATTTATCCAAACAGCAGTTGTTATGAAATTCCTTTTCTGTTGGGTTTTTTTTTTTTAGCTTTTTTCCCCATCTAGACAACATGTATTGTTATAAAGTTTTCAAAGATGGTCATTGGTGAGAACTGAATTTGAATATTGCTTGTGTTTTCTTCTGACAGGTCTTTTATTCTGTCACTATTTTTTCTTGTCAGTATTCTGCTTAATTGGTTATTTATTAGGGTTATATTAAAGATACATTATGTAAGATTTAGATAAAGAACTGGCCATTCTTGCTATAATAGTTCGAAAGTAGATGATGTAAAATGAATAATTTGAAAATTTCATTCGAATTACTCTATTGCAAGCGAAGATATTAGCCTTTGAAGGTTTGACAGATGTGTGCAATAATTTCAACCACCGTACTGGTTGATCGAAGCCAAGCCTCAGTCCTCCATATTTGATTAAATCAAAGTATCACTGAACCATTCTAATCTATTTAATATCGGAGAAATCTGATGCCATCAAGAGTTAATTAAGGCCTGGATCAGTTAATTAATGTCTAATTAATAGTTTATATAACATTTCAGTCCTAAAGAAAGACCTGCAATAGGCAGATTTAGCTCTTGCATAATGCATGTTTAAATAACTAGGGGCGGTGAAAAAAATAGATACATAGATAAACATGTACTGTGAAACAGGCCTTCCATGTATGTTACAATATATTGATTTGAGTTTAGTGAATTGATATTTTAGCTCTACTTTTATTTTGTTTCAAAATGGACTGTCACACTGATCAGCGGTGAATATTCGCTAGGCCACGACAATCACTGATAAGGATGACATCAATGCGACTTAATGAGTCTCCAATATTAACTTTTTTACACCGAAAAATTAAATTCTAAAACATTTTTTTGATGTATTAGAAAAATAAATAAAAACGTTTGATGTATTTGTAGGTAAAAATTATTTCCTATTTAGTGTAAATGGGTATTAAAATGACTAAAAAGCAGCATTCTGCCCGAAGCAATAACGTCTTATGTAAACAACACATGCGCCATTCAGCCAATGATTGACGTCGCGTGCTGTGACGGCACATATTAAAGGCAGTCATCTTTTACAGAGCATTACGAGTCCTCTAATATCTCTGTAAAAGAGATTGATGGACTTTAACAAACTGCATGGCTTATGCCTGTTTTCATTAGCTCGGTTGGTGCAGAAAAGTAAGATATTTTAACCACTTTTCATTTCGGTATAATTGGTCACATACAGAGTCTGTTTTTCTTGACTTTGTTGGATCACATACATAATTCTAAATCTTTTACTGGACATCTGACTAATAATTGATTACTACAAATTTTAAAGTCTACTTGTTTATGTTTTTGTAGGTAGTCGACAAGCCAGATTTACAATGTAAAATTTGTGGTCATGCGTTTACTCAGAAAGGACATCTTAAAAGACACATACAAAGTAGACATTTAAAACTCTCCTTTTATTGTCAAATTTGCGGAAAATCGTTTTCAAGGAAAGACACACTAAAATATCATATGTGGAAGTGTGGTGATAAACGTAGTTGATAGGACGTTGACTGAATGACTTTTATGTCTCTGATGAGAAATCTGTTAAGAAATCTGTTCTGTATTGTAGTGACAAGATTACAGAAAAGATAATTTGTGATCGTAGGGAATAGGAAGAATTCGTTTGTTGAAAACAGTGGAAATAAAAACAGACTTTCTTGTGACATTTTAATTTGTGTTTAGGTTGGAATGCCTGCTCTGTACTGTAATAAGTAATTAAGTGATTATTAATATTACTGCCGTCCAAAGTGTTAAAATGAATATAATTGTTGTTGATTTGTGTTTTTTGATATAAATATATTGGTCCTTGTTCATTTAATGAACTGAAAACGTGAATTGACAAAATGGTTTGGAATTGTTCAAAGTTAGTTTGGTTTTTTTTACCTGTGCTTTTCTAGTGTTTTAAAGCAAAGGTGCTTGTAAATCAGCAAATGTCTTTCAACTATAACATTAGGCCAAGGTATATTTATTGCACGGCTATAAAGCGTGCTATAAATGACTTGTAACATTGACAACTGCTCAACATGCTTATCGTATTTCACAGAAAACCCACCCCACTTCTCTATATGATTTCTACTAAAACTAGTGTAAACCAGCAAAAGGGTGCAAAAACATTGAACATGTCTAGTTATTGCATGGTTAAGCTCCACCCAATCTACTAGAGAGAAAACAATCTGCCAATTCAACAAAAAAAACAATGGAAGATTTCCCATCCATGTTACAAGGATAGATATTGTGCCGTCGATCTATAGTGGGTTCAGATTGAAGGGTAAATAACTCATCTCACTCGGTGATAAATATTAAAGGCACGAAATTAACATTTTATACCATGCCTGTTTCTTTTTCATTTTCTCCAATATAAACAATCATTACTAATTGAGAAAGTTTTGTTATAAAATTTACAAAAGTGACCGAGAAGAGATGGAAATTTTGCTTTCACATTAAAAATTTTTTGACTTATATGATAGGCTGTAGATAAGATAGATAAGATAAGATTTTATTACATTGAAACATCCAGCATATAATATATATAAACATGTACATAATAATGATTATAATTCAAAAATGTTCCATTTTGTTTTCTATTATTTTTATTGTAAACCCCAACATTTTGACAACTGGTTATCAAAATAGGTTGATTTCCTGACGTGAAGATTTGTTGATCTTCACTGATCAGGATAAAAATTAGGAAATTGGCAATTTGTTTTATTAAGCAGGTTATAATAAATTGAGATTTACTTGTGAAGAAAAGTCTCAAAAGAAAAAAAAAATCAAATGCATAATCTTCTAATTTAGATATGTTTGTCATTCGTGACAAATTATTGAACTTTTTTTTCTGAGTCCCTCCCTTTTTCTTTTCTCGTTATAGGATCCACCTTTGCGAAAGAAGTACACCTGTACTATTTGTGATCAAAAATTCAACTTTAATTCACATCTTAAACGTCATATTGATGGAAAACATTTAAATAAACGACACAAGTGTCTTATTTGCGGACACTTTTATTCAAGAAAGGATTATCTTAAAGAACATAAAGCGAAATATCACCCTGATATGAACAAGAGCATAGATTAATGAACGTATTCGTATGGTACAATAAGGAAATATGTACGAATGCGAAACAAAATTATGGCTATTCCGTCAATCTTTGATTCATGGACTTCTGTGGTGCAACAAAAAAAAAATGAATGACCATAACTTTACAGGAGTAAAATGTAGAGAATTTGCAATTTTAGAATACATTCAATTTTCCTAGGTTAATTTCAAAGTATTTAATACATGTCTGGCACAAAAGTTCACAATACCCAGGTCCTGTCACACTTTATGAGACTGACGTTTGAACACTTAGAATGCACCTCAAATTATTTTGGCACATTCTGGGTGTATTAGCTCTTGAATGTAGTTGTAACAAAGTAGGACTATTTAGAATGCACCTTGAATGCTGTAGGAGTATGGGTCAATTGCTGCCCAAATACCGCCCGGAGTCTGTTTGGAAGGTGCCTCGAATGCAGTCAGAACGCTCTGGAATGCCCTTTGAATATGGTTCGGATGTCTAAGAATTCAAACAGAATGCAGCTCAATTACTCATTCAAAGTGCATTTGGAAGATTCTGGCAGGATTTGCCATTTCTATTATCCTTTGTATTGCTATCAGAATGTTTTGAATGACATAATACTATATAGAATGCAGTCAGAGTGCATTTAGAATACATTTCAAAGGCTTTTTGATATTTCTTCATTTCGAATACGCATCAAAAATTTTGAATAGTTTTGATTATGAGCAAAACATTTGCCTGGCAACAAGAATGGGCCAGAATATTGGGAATACACTCTAGATTGCAGTCTAAATTTTTAGAATGCACTTCGAATATCCAGGATTATACAACGAATTTTCATTGCAACGGCATTGTGACTCATTCCTTCTCTAGTATAGCTAGGGTTTCAGGTACTGGTACCGGTACAAATAAAACTGTTTCCGCCCCACCCCACCTGCAGAAAAGTCATAATTTTGTTTCGCATGTAATTATGTTCCCGTTTGGTGGTATTTATTAAACTTTTGATGAGATGGTCATTTAATTGTTTTGTTATTGGTTTTTTTTTGTTCAACATTAAAACAAGTGTGTTATATTTGCAGTTATTGATTTTTTTAGGAATGAATGTATTAATATCTAAAATTGTTCAGTTGCATGATAAAATACAGTATGTGAGTGTAATAGAATGATTTGAGCTGAATTTTGAATTATTTCGTTCAACTATGAGACAAGTTTGTTTTATTAGCAGTTCTTAATTTTAGGAATGAAAGAATTATCTTAAAATGTTCAATAGCATGATCACAGACAGACAGGAATGGGGTTTAATGTGCACTCGACACAAACTGGGTCATTTCGGGACCAACAATTTTATTTCAATAATTCGCTTGCATGTAGAGGTCTTTAGCAGTGGGAGGAAACCGGAGGACCCGGAGAAAACCCACAACGTTGGACAGACGACCCTACTCCTTGTCATGTACAACCAGGAAATCATAACCACGCCAGTCGACTCGATGACAGACCTACTGATACAACGCGCACTCGCTAACCATTCGACCATCCAACCCCCTTAGCATGATCACACATATGAAAGTGTCATAATTTGATGAATTGAACTGAATTTTCCAAATTTTAATAAATCAGAATATTTTTGAAAGATCAGTTATTATTCTTGTTGCACCATGATATATTTTAGTGAATTTACACCAGTTAAAATATTTTCAAAGTGTGACAAAAATGGACACATTCAACTACAGAGTTATGACCCTTGATAGTTTAGAAAAATGTTGTGGTCACTCTAGTAAAGTAGGGGAGAGACAGGAGAAGGATTGACGTTGGCTTGTTCCTTAATATCTGTTTAATAAGAAATGCTTAAAACTAATGTACATGTATTTGAAACTGATAAGATATAAAATCTTTTCGATTTGGCAAAAACAAAACAGTTAGATTTCTGTTGCAATATTCCTGCAAGCCTAGCATACTTAGCCACAAACAATGAAAATTACATTATTAGCAAGCCTGGAATAAGCCACCTGTCACAGACAATGTCAGGCACTAATTCAGGCTTAGCAGGCATAAATCTCTGATGTGTGTCAAAATGTCAGGTACTAGTTCAATAGTGCCTGACAGTTCATCAGTATTTCCAGGCCTAGGTACATGTATATATGACAGAACGCAAGCAGCCTAGGTATTGGGTCAAAAAACGCTAAAAGTCATTCATAATGTTCTGTTTTTCCGTTGCGATCAGGTAGGTTTATCAAACGAAACGAAATGAAATGAAATGAAATGGGGTTTAACGTCCAACTGTTCCGCTCCTATGCTGGGCTAATGAAGACGGGCATACGCCATACAGTGTGCTATGAGGGAGATTTTGCCCGGGCAGCGGCACTATCGCCTACTCTTATATCGAATTCCAACTGCCAAGGAATCTTTTACGTGCATTTCAATGTATACATGGGACCTCGGTTTTCGTCCCATCCAAACGACTAGACAGCTGTCCTTGTCAGGCCGTCCGTCCTGCATCACTGACAAGAGGAAACCACTCCGGAAAATCTGGATGAACTTTCTCGGCCAATGCAGGGATCGAACAGCCGACCTCCAGGCTAGCGAGCCAGCGTCTTAGCCATGTGATCCCCAGGTTCATCAAACATTTTCTGATTTGTCATCAAACCTTGATCTTAATGTTCACACTGGGTTTTTTTCCTATTAAAAGGAAAGGATATTCGTATGGCGTCCGTCTTATCACCAAGACATTGTTTCCAAGGCATAAACCGCTCAAGATATCTTTTTGAATCTTTGTTCAAATCAACATATTACAGTAGTTGTGACGTTTGTTTATTATAGATATTTCTAAGATTTAATAATTTTGTGTTTTCGATGTGCTTTTGTATGCAGTTGTTCGGGATGTTAATGACTAAATCTTTTTTTGTTGTATTTTTAATAAATAACTATATTTTTTTATTATTATTTCAGGTTGGTAAGAAACAAGTCAATAAAATCCCATGCAAGTATTGTAGAAAAGAATTTACGAGTGAAGCCAACCTTTCTCGTCACATACAGTCTCAGCATTTACAAGTTCGTGTAAAATGTCCCATTTGTCATGATACATTCGCCCGTAAAGAAACACTTAAGAAACACATGTTAAAAAAACACACCGATGACGGTAATTTGATGGGTAGTGCTTGGGTAGCGTGTCCTATCTGTGAAGAAGAGTTTAGTAATAAGGATCTAGTTAATAAACATGTGTTTGAATTGCATCGTGTTAATCCGCCGTTTCCTTAGAAACAAAAATAGTTCTGGCATTTCTAATTTATTGCATAGGATGAAAGTTGTGTTAATCCACCATTACCTTAGCCACAAAAAATAGTTCTGGTATTTCTAGTCTATTGTATAGGAAGACAGTTTCCTTAGCAACAAAAAATAGTTCTGGTAATTCTAATCTATTGTATAAGATGAAAGTTGTGTTAATCCACGGCTTCCTTGGCAGCAAAAAAAAAAGTTATGGTATTGCTAATCTATTGTATAGGATGGAAGTTGTGTTAATCCACGGTTTCCTTGGCAAAAAAAAAAGAAGTTCTGGTTTTCCTAATTGATTGTATTATATTTGATGAAACTTGTGTTTTGACCAAATACAATCAAACCCAGTATTACATCATGTAAATCTGCTGTTTCCATAGCAACAAAACATAGTTCTGGTAGTTCTAATCTGTTATATTATGTTGGGTGAAAGTTCTGTTTTGACTAAATTCACAAACCACTATTCATTGAATTATATCTTGGATGAAAGATGTGTGCGAGATGTTGGATTTTTAATATACCAGTATTGTAAAATTTGATAAAAGGCATAAAGGGTGCAAATATGGACATTTCTTAATTTTGGTATTTCGTGAAGAGGTTGGTGAAATCCTATATAGAAAGACTAAGCCAACAGGAAAAATACCAAAGGGTCCCAAGTTGGCATTATTAATGTTATAAAACTTGAAAATTGATAAAATGCATGCCTGCTGCAAATCTAGACATTATTTTGTTAATTTTGATATTTCCTGAAAAGATTGGTGAAATTCTATATAGAAAGACATTTATAAAAGATTTGATATCAAAGGGTTGTAATAAACTGCCGTTTTATTCTACCAAAGTCTGATGTACCTTCGTTTAGCATGGGATTATACTATCTTCACATATTTAAACAGGAATATATGCAGAGCAAACAATTTTAAATAACGAGATGTTTAACCAAAAACTGTTTATTTCCGCCGGAAGAGTGATGTACTTAAGTTGTGGGGGGTGTGGGCTGTGAAATCTTTACTTTCAGTACAGCATTTTTAGTTACAAACCAATTTATCAATATAATACAAATGCTCGGAATAAAACTTGAGATTTCATTGATGTGTATTATATGTGCAATTGCATCTTATTTCATTTCATTTCGCTACATCAAGAGCCTGTGAGTATAGTGCTGGTTCGCTAACCAGGGTGATCTCCCTTCGTCAGTGATACAGGACATGGCCTAGCATAGAAGAGCGTCTAGTCGTTCAAATTGGACAGAATATACTGTTCGTTGCATGTTTTGCATGTTAAAGATCTCTTAACAGTTGGAGTAGAGAATAGCTCTACAGCACAAAACGTATCGCATAGCACACTGTATGGCTTATGCTGTCTTCATTAGCCCAGTTAATGCAGAAAACTAAGACTCTTTGTAACCGGATTTCATCTCAGTTCTATAAATTAATTTGAATTAAATTTGACTGATTCTGTTAAATATAGTATTAGAATATAGAACAAATTGAAAGAAACATCTTATTTGATTTGACTCCGGTCAAATATAATATAGTTGGAATAGATAATATATAGATAGAAATCAATTATCATTAAAGTATTCCACCAGCGATAGCGAGTGAAATGCGGCAGGATATACTCGAGTGAACCATTGAATAACCCCAGCGGTATTCAATGGTCATTGAGTTCTGTTTTAATTCTATAACTACATGCAAATCTCAAAATACACTGTACTATCCAGATTATCAACAAACAAAAAAATCACCAATAACCTTAAAATTCATTATAGGTTTCACCCTTTTTTTTCCTTTTTACAAAAATTGTGTTTGCCTAGTGGTGACCCCATTACAGTTTGATGTAATTCTGAAAGTGAGGTCATTCCAGACAAAAGTAGTACTTGTCCAAGCCATTGAATACAACCATAGGTTATTCATTGGCAGTATTCAATGATATTTGCGTGTATTTGCATTTAGTTAAAGAATAAAGAAAAATATACATGTATATCTGATTTTTTATCAGTAATGTTTTACAGGTGAATGTGTGACAATATAATTTATTTAATTGGTGTGGTATTACTCGATATCATGAATGGTGTACATATTATTATTATTATATTGTATATTATGAAATATATGCATACGTAATGGTTTATTTTGTGAGTAGTCCTTGGACGGTGGGGTTGCGGGGGAAGGAATGGTATTAAATGTCTATCTCTAAGTGTCAAATTGTGAGCTTTCAGTCCCGGATGTGACAAGGTGTTGGGTCACCTTCCCGACCTGGGTAAGAAAAGAAAAAAGCGATGGAAGTATCATGGAAGAACTAATTAACAGTTCTTAATTAAATTAAATATTTTAAATTTGTCATCTAACAAAGCAATCTCGGCTCCCAGAGATAAGTTTACTCGCCTGGGAAAACTCGCTGGCCATTAATCAGTCTTAAATTAGTTGCTCATGGTTGGCTAGATTTGTTTGAATGAAATGCTGCAGATTTTTCGACGATTAGGCATCGGTTCGTTGCATGGGTTACATATAAATGATCCTTGGAACATTTTCCACATCTTGAAATCAAAAGTTCCATTGAAAACAGCCGTTATGATGATTTACTGGGAACTATTTTTAACGCTCAACATAAGAGTGATTTAGTTAAGTACGCAAAATTTCTGAGCCGCCATCTCCGGTCTTTGTGAACCGACCCACGGAAGAATACATCACGTGACATTTAAAATGACCCGCGAGTTTTCCCACCTATAAACAAAGGGTAAACTTATCTCTGGGAACCGAGATTGCTAACAAATCAGAAATTCTATGGTACCTCCCTTCCCATGATGTCACAAGCACGTGCATGTTTTACTTAATTGTTAATCTAGCCCCGAAAACGTGACCTGTGTGTGTTTTCTGTTGAAATATATTTTTTTTGTAAGATTATGGATCTCCTCATTAATTATTCACCCGTTCTTTCATTCCTTGTATTTTATATCTACTTGTGTTTGTAAATTTTATAAAATCACCATATTTTTTTGTAAATTGAAACAATATTATTGTATAATTTATTTGAAAGTTGAGAAAAAAGTTTTATTAACACATACTGTAACTCAAATGAAATTAATGCTGACAATCTTGTGCAAAATAATTTCAAAACCTGAACTGAAAATTAAGATCGGGCATTATTTACCAATACACAACTCTCTGTTCTATTTATGGGCGGCTGGCGGCAGACTAAGTGTCATTGAGTCCAAGCACAGGCACTTGAAGGGATTAAAATAAAACTTCTTACTACTGCTTGACTATATACTATAATATATAGTCGAGCAGTAGTAAGAATTTGTATTTTAATCCTTTCAAGTGCCTGTGAGTCCAAGTGGCATCATTTTGACTCAAAGGAGTAGGGTCCTCTCTCTCTCTCTCTCTCTCTCTCTCTCTCTCTTAGCCAATCTACTGGGCATCAATAAGAATAACAACCCACAGAACAAAAGAAACGTAACTTTACAGAGATGTTGCTACTATATTATTAATGATGTAATTTTGAACTTATGGCACAAATCGCTGTAACAAGATGTATATGGGTGTGAATAAAACCTTTATTAAAAAAAACTAGATTGTCCATGTTTGTAATTGTTTGTGGATATAGCTAAACACCCCTGTACCCGTAACCAGAAGCAGAGGGGGCAGCTTCCGACCCAAATTTTTTAGAAGATCGCCAAAAAGAAAACTTCAACAAAAATTGACACGAACCCCCTTAGGCAGGGCCGCCGAGTCCTGATGAGGGGCCCCCGAATCGGAAATGGGGCCCATTGACGGTGTTGAGTCGAAATGCACACTTCAAACAAATTTATCCAAAAAATACTTTAATTCAGCATTTACAATTGAAATAACTTTGCACCCAATCTCTGGAGGCCCTCCAGCTGGCGAAAGCCATTTTTCTTTTGTCAACTTTGTTTCCAGGGTTAAATGGTTATAGGCTCAATACCACTCTTCTTGTAACTGAATAATATGTCCCAATCTTTATTCTGGTCAACAAATTGTACTATTTTACAATATTCCAATTAATTGATGATACAAATTTCATCTTAACACACTTAATTTAAAAAATTGGAAAAATTCAACTAAATGATTTGAAAAGCCTAACGTAAAGCTTTTCAAATGTGACTTGGATTTCAAAATATTTTCGAACCCTCTGGACAAGTAAAATAGGATTTAATGGATAATTTACACAACAGGTAGGATACTTAAACATCTAATACTTAGAATAAGGCTATTATTTTTTTTCTGGAGCTGTCAAGCCAGCAAGAGTGTTATTGCCCCTTTAACAGTTACAGAAACACTGTCCAATTACAATCCTCCCTATATGTCGAAATCACTGTTTATGCGTAAAAAATACCTATTGCTTCAACATCTTAAGGAGTTCAGTAAAACCCCGCCAAAGAAACCCTGGGATTTAAACAAGCTTCTCATAGTCTAATTATCATTGAAAGAAAATATTAAAAACCCTAACGGTGACACCATTCTTCAAACGTCATCTTATCACACTAGTAAATTATTTCACCTTGGCCTATATTTCAATCTAAATAATGTGAGTTATTCTTACAGTCAATGAAATTGAGTAAAGCTGCTTTCTTCTGTGATTTATCATTAATTTGAGTTGATAGTATATTTCGATTAAAATATAATCAAATTAATCTATATCAAACCTTTGCTTCAAATCCCCATTAAAACATTTTATTCTAAAGAAAACTACCCCATGCCATAAGAATCTATTTTAAGTAGCATTGTTTGTCACGTTACTTGATTGAGGGAGAACCCAATTTCCATAAATATCGAAGCCTAAGTTAAATCTTGAATTAGCCTCCGTCTACTGGACGTTAAGTCTCTCAATGTTCTCACAACTTCTAGCCATTCGATCAACGCATAGTAGGCATTACGTCACTCGACCAAACATTCTTCCAGTTAGTGACACCAACAATCTTGCATTTTCGTCCAGTGGGCGCCCAATAATGGGTATTTTTCAAGGGAGTCCTGTATTTTTCTAGTAAGATTATTGGTTGTCTCTACTTTCCACAAATAATAAAATATACTATACTTTTATTGGAAGTAACTACCTTATAAATATTTTCGTGAGAATCAATCTTTAAGCCATATGAAAATCTTAATCATAATATGGTTTGTTTGTTTGTTTTTTGTTTTGGTTTTTTTTTTTCATTTTCATTTGAGTGACCCTAAAGGTCTTGGGTACTGATAAGACAGTTAAAGTGTGGGAATTTCTGAAGCTGCCAACAACAAGATACTATGATATATTTAAAGCTGGTTTTCTATGAGTAAAAACGAAATACTCACTGGTTAATTCTCACCAGTGTTATTATTGTACACGTTAATTGTTTCATTTGTCATTTAATCGCCTGTCTAACCTGGTGAGTTTTGTCCGAACCCCTTATTTCATCCAGCTTCTGAATACGCCTACTGTAAGCGAATTGTTGAAATAAGACTGTGCAATATACAAGTCCCGGAATTACCTAGTTAAAGTGCACATAAGATGGGTCTGGAAACTTTGAGATACGTGTAGCCAATGGTTACTATATCCACTTTACGGCAAGTTCACACCAATCTGATTGAAATTAATTCAGCTATCTTCACTCAAAGTCGCAAAAATAGACCTCCCGTAAAAACGACTTTGCCAATTATCGAAAACACTCTTAATCCAATCAGACGCCAGTGACGTCACAGTGACCGAATGCATATTCATAATGTTTATTCCTTAATTACCTATATACAGCTGGCGTGTGTATTCATTAACGGTTGTCTGACTCCTTAATCCCCTAATTAAATAAAACAACCGACTGCGGAATAATTTGTTTTGTAATTTATTTTAATTTAAGATCCTATTTAGAATTTGTTTTATAATGTCCTGCCCTCTCTTCTAACGACAGCGATTTTAAAACTGTGTTTTAAAGTGACTTTTTGATAAGAGCCACTCTACCATCGTGTCCAGTCCAAACGATTTGAAATATATTTCCGTCAGAAGAGTATTGTGGTTCTAATTTCCCCGAGTAAAAGAGTACAGAAGTAAAAGATGTGGTCATGCAAAATGAATCATTAAAGTCAAACATGACTGAAACGTGATTTTTTAATGACGATCTGTAGCTCGATTTCCTGTTGTCATCGTACGGCGTCTTTCTTTCTTCATGTGGATTTGACTTATTACTCTGAAATCGACCGTAAAAATGAAATACGAACAAATATCTCAATATTATACGTTAGAATTAAGAGATTGAGAACGGTCATCTAACTATCTTTGTGTATTGATAAAGTGTACTGTCGTTAATATCTATCATTAATCAATCCGACCAAAATTGCAGATATGGGGCCATTAATTAATTTACATGTCGATGTAGATAATGATTAGCGTTGCACACACATTGGGTTATAAATTAATTTACAAGTAAAGATGTTGGATTAAGAATGCTGATTAGGTTATTATTAGCCCGCCAGATCAAAGACATCACTCTAGGTGAACGTGTTAAAACTCCACGAACGAACGACACAAGTTACGGGGGAACTTTGCTGCAAACATTTCTCCACACCACAACTAATCGTTGAATCAATCGTACATTGCTCATCAGTTGTTTATAATTATTTTTTACCCAATAATCAATTAGATTTGTTCACCGATGTTTTTGTAATAAAGTATCCTCGTATTATTTGTTGATTGGCGTTTAGACAATATTTAATGGACTTGATACGAAATCTGAATATAAATTATTCGATGCAATTGTCGCTCCAAAATTTAACGTCAGTTACTACGGACGTAGTATGCATGGTACCGTACACCGTAATAAGATTCCCAGCGTTGATTGGCTGAAATGAAATGAAATGAAATGAAATGGGGTTTAACGTCCTACTGTTTTGCTCCGAACTGGGCTAATGAAGACGGGCATACGCCATACAGTGTGCTATGAGGGTAATTTTGCCCGGACAGCGGCACTACGGCCTACTCTTATATCGAATTCCAACTGTCAAGGGATCTTTTACGTGCACGCCAATGTGTACACGGGACCTCGGTTTTTCGTCTCATCCGAATGACTAGACAGCTGTCCTTGTCAGGCCCTCCGTCCTGCATCACTGACAAGGGGAAACCACTTTCTCGGCCAATGCAGGGATCGAACACCCGACCTCCAGGCTAGCGAGCCAGCGCCTTACCCACCTAGCCACCGTGGCCCCCGTTGATTGGCTGAGAAATGAGGGCGATCTATTGTTATGCATAGTCATTGAACAATTAAATATTCGCGGTGAATTTCAAATGGAGTTACGATATAAATTGTTTGTGTATAGAAATGGTTATTATAATTATATATAGCCAATAATGAATATAATGACAAATTACTGGCACTATTTGTATTTCTGTGCTTATATAGAGATAGTTTGGGAAATCAAATATTATCCAAATTACCGGTAAATGGGCTAATTGCTTGGGTCGTCTTCATCTGTCACGTGACCTTTTTAAACAAAGTACGCTTAAATTGATCTACGGCATTATAAAGCATTTTAAATTCACTCTAAAATACTCCAATCACAAAAAGTCTAATCTATGACAGTACAAGACGATAATTCGGATATTATGATTAGGCCAGTCAAGTGTTAATTGGACCGTAATGTATATATCAGAGATATACTGTACAGGTAGTGATATATTGTGTATAGATAATGTATATACTATGTGTAGTGCCTGTGACGTCACCAGCCAATCAACCGGATTAACGTCGTAATTGAAAAATTTAAAAGCGTTTTTGCGTGTCGGATACTCAAACGTTAATAGCCTAATTAATTTTAATCAGATTGGCGTGAGCATGCCGTAAAGTGGATATAGTAACTATTGGCTACACGTAGCGAAAAAAAAATTGGCCATCTTATGTGGTCTTTAATCGTTAAACCCCATCTCTTTAGACTTCTACCACATGTAAGTCCCGGAATGTACTAGTTTGTGTTGAGTAAACTATAAACCCCATCTCTATGTTGGCCGCGAAATGATCTAGTTTGTGTTGAGTAAACTATAAACCCCATCTCTGTTGGCCGCGAAATGACCTAGTTTGTGTTGAGTAAACTATAAACCCCAAATCTGTGTTGGCCGGGAAATGACCTAGTTTGTGTTGAGTAAACCATAAACCTCATCTCTATGTTGGTCCCGAAATGACCTAGTTTGTGTTGAGTATGCCATACCCCCCCCCCCCCCCATCGCTATGTTGGTCCCGAAATGACATAGTTTGTGTTGAGTGAATCGTAAACCCTATTTCTTTATGCTTCTACTATAGGCCTACGTTTGTCCCTCAATGACTTAGTTAGCGTTAAGTACACATCAAGTCCCATGTGATCTCTCTCTCTCTCTCTGTACTCTTGTGTTGTCGTTCGGTTCGGGTTTTTTTGTGGACAGGATGACAAGACAATAGATAAAGAAGTACCAATAAGGAACCTTTATACTTATCTTGTCCTCTATCTAATCTTTACATTCTTAAAATATAAAGCCAACTCATCGTCGTCTTTTTATCTTACACAGAAGACCTTGGTTCTTGTGTTGGCCATGATGGAAGGGAATATGCTCTCACTGTTTTACTTTGTCTGTTTATGTTATATGGGTGTTGGTTATCCTACGTATCCTGTTGATAATTCCGTGGGATATGAAAGAACATTTACTGGAATTGGAGCGATAAGTGGAGGAGGGGTAAGTTAATTCTGCCAAGACAATGTTAACCTCACTAGACGGAGCTATCTAGAGCAAAACAACTGTTTGTCGGTCCCAGATTTCGGAATGGGAGATTTCCGTTCTAGTGGCAAAGGCAGCTGGGAGTCTTTTGGGTGGTTGTCGCAGGTCAGGACGAAATGTTTTAGTTTCTTTGATGCTAAAGGTAGCGAGAAGGCAGTTTTACGAATGTAGTTATTAATATGAAATAATCATCATCATCGACTCCCCTACTTCTCAAAGCTAATTCAATCAATGGTTTGAGAAAGCGACTTAGTAGAATTACATACGATGCAATGACCATCAACCAATTAGGAACGGTCTTTACTTCCGAAAATTCCGGTTAGTTTAAGAAAACTTTATCGACTTAGCATCTGGTCACACAAGTACGTGTATTTAGATTTCTCAGTTACAATTTCTGTTGGCCAATCGTGTATGATGTCATATTTTACTTTTATTAGGCCACATCAAAACTGTTACGGAACTATCCTCTACAACAAAGATCAGAGATCCTAGACTATTTATTTAAGGTGAGTAAAAACTGTGATATCCTCAACATGTAGCCTGTCAGAATACCCTCTGATTATAAAAATGGATGCGATTTAACATAGTACTTCTCTTCACAAAGCTAATGGAGATGGGCATACGTGCACACCAATAAGTAAACGCCCCACCCGAAGGACTAGACGCATTTCCTCGCTAGACAGGAAAATCCCGAGGCACATTCTCAGAAAACCTCGAGATTGAACACCATTCGACTATAAACTAAACAACCAACCACTTTAAGTTTGGATAAAATTTTAAAATTAAAGCCACCGATAGTCGTTTGAGAGATTTCGAAACCCCTTCAAACTACAAGATATGATGAATTGAAAATCTGTCAACAATCGGCACTTTTTACTGGCGATATCAAGGGCACGTTGTCAATCGGCACTAAAATCTTTTGATAGGCCTCGTTTAAATCCAATTTAATCCTGACGGGAGATTATCTGCAGTTGATATTCTGGTTTTCTTTTCTTAATTACTTGTTATATCTGAGTGAATTTTAGCGTGAATTAACCCGTTATAAATTCGACAATGACCGAAATATGCAATTGGCAAACATCGGATTTAATGTTCTATATACAGCTTTATCGTTTTCCATAAATTATATTACAGCCGAACTTTGGTGCATCTCTCCACATCTTCAAGGTTGAAATAGGCGGAGACGTGCAAAGTACAGGTAATGATGGTATATTTCTGTATCCCATGTGTCAATGTCAGAATATTGATTAAACAAAACTGAAACCTTGAACCAAGGGCCTTGTTAGGGGCTCTTTGTGACCCTGGAACCATAGCTTGAAGACGGCAGCCAAAAATGTATGTGCCACTAATGTCCTGGTAACCAATCCCCCATTAAACGATAAGACCACTCTAGTTGTTTGAATTTCACTTTCATGAACTGCCATATTTTGACTTCACGTTGTGTTTTTAACTAATAACACCCTGGAACTGTTTTGTTCGTAATCCGAGTTTATACATCTTTGTGATATCACTAATATATAATCCAGTCAAAAATATTACAGTTACGATGTAAGTATTAATCTATAGTTTGAGTTCCACGAGCCCACTTTCCAGACATAATAACTGTTCGGGCACTCTTACAGGCTGACAGGAGCCAAAGCTACTTCCCAAGGATCTACAGTTTGTCTTGTTCAAATGATGTCTAAGTACTATACGTAAACATTAAACTTTAAACTCCGTGGAACTCAGACGTGCCTTATGAAGCACTACATGATGTGTGTTCAAACGATTTCCGGAGAATCCAAGCCCACTATTATACTTTCTTTTAAAGACTGGGAAAGTGCCATAAAAGAGAAAACTTGACGGAATAACACGTGGGTTTAGAGAGATACCATACCGTACATTTAATTTTACCTGAACAATGTGCCAATGTAGAAACTCTACCAAACCAGTTTGCTACGTCAAACTTAATTTCGAGGACACCTAATTAACTCAAAATCTCCAATCCAGACGGACCTCCCATATGTCTTATATCATCGTACTATTATTAATCCTAAATCTAACCCCGATACACTAAGCAGAACAGTGTATTCTAAGATTCGATAACTTTATACTGAATATGTATTATAAGATTTTTTTACTGTATCTTTTTTAGAGGGAACAGAAGCATCTCACATGCACAATAGTTGGGATGAGAATTATAATCGTGGTTATGAATGGTGGATGATGAAAGAAGCTAAAATGGTTTGTTTATTTTTGAAATCATTCCTAAATACAGTACACAGAATTCGCATTACTGATTAAGAAATTGCTACAAGCTCTGCATTCTTTCAAGGTGCATCTTGAAATATACGGAACAACAAAACCGCCACACAATACGGATAAACAAATAATATCTATTTTTATACGCTCACATCGAAATGTGGTCGTTTATTGTCGTCACCTCGTCAGGCTGTCGTATTGTTCGCGGACGGTCTAGAGTCGAGAGACAAAAGTTGTTATTCGATTGAATTTAAATTAATACACGATGTTTATGGTCATAACTATCAAAGTTATGGGCCTTAATCACTTTGAAAAATCTTGCGGACGCTGTAGATGCTTAATTCATCATCCAACCGACTTTAAATCCATACACAGTGTGTATGGCAATGAGACAAAGATTGGCTTGAAATTTATATACATTGTTCGAAATCACGAGATTAAGAATCTTATTTTCAGGGATTTCCCAAAATTATCATTCAATTAAAGGACAATATTGGTGTCAGTCATTATCACATATGTGATAGAACTGGTTAAACACGTTCCAAATATAATTTTAACACAGAGATCATTACTACGATAAATGCGATTTTAAGAAAGGGAAGTGACGAGCGCAAAAGGAAAACACGAGTTATCCTTCTATATAACTGACTGACACCAATATTGTCCTTTAACATTAAATGTATACATAGTGTTAATAGTCATGAAGCAAGAATGCTATTCCTTTTCAGAGATTTCCGTTACTACCAAAGTTATGGCCTTTCATCACTTTGGATAATGTTATGGATACTCTAAGGGATTTTTGTTTCATTGCATTCCGTCTTTTATTTAAAGATACATTATGTAAGATTTAGATAAAGAACTAGCCATTCGTGCTAGTATAGTTCGAAGGTAGATGATGTAAAATGAATAATTTGAAAATTTCATTCAAATTACTCTATTGCAAGCGAAGATATTAGCCTTTGAAGGTTTGACAGACGTGTGCAATAATTTCAACCACCGTACTGGTTGATCGAAGCTAAGTCTCGGTCCTTCATATTTGATTAAATCAAAGTAGCGCTGAACCATTCTAATCTATTTAATATCGGAGAAATTTGATGCCATCGAGAGTTGATTAAGGCCTGGATAAGTTAATTAATGTCTAATTAATACCTTAGAAAACATTTCAGGCCTAAAGAAAGACCTGCATTAGGCAGATTTAGCCTCTTGCATGTTTAATTAGAAAGAAACCACTCCGAATGCCTCCCCTATCTCCATCTCCCCTCAAAAGTAGGGTGACCCACCATAAATAAATATCTCCAAATATCTCGACAATTACGCCACAATATTTATATATATGCAAAGCCTCAAACCAGTTTCACACAATTATTGTCACTAAATAAACGATCATGTTGTACTTAATAAGCTATGACCATTAATCATCTATAAATAATAGACTGAAAACTGGTTCCAAGTGTCGTCCATAACATCCAGACACTTTTGAGTAAAAGATAGGTTACGTGCCCTTGTTTTGAAATTAGTCTCGCTTAACCAGTCTATCGACCATTCTACGTCTGATTGACAGGTCGGGATAATCAAGACTACTTTTTTACGAAATATAACAGAAAGCTAGAACAAGAAATTGAATTTAGAAATAAGCACTTTAGCCAACTCAACAATTGTTTTAAGAAACTTGTAAAAGTAAAATGAAACTACTGCTAGTATCATGTTCCCGCTAACGAAAGTGATTCAGAGATATTATTTGTACTAAACCAAAAGATGCCGCTCTTAATGGTACAGTTAATGATAAAGCAATTTAAAAAATAAAACAAACGTAATTTCTCAAGCTGCTGTAATAACCAAGAAGCTAAATTTTACTGCTATTCAAAATCGTCAACAATAGATTTTTTACGGCTGTAATAGTTGATATATTTGTAGAGAATTGCACGTGCCATGGCTATAGCTCGACTCAAAGAGAGTGCGGGGTAGTCAGAAATCAGTTCGAGACACGCAACTGAAGCGTGCACATTTAGCCGTGTCGAGACCAACTTTCTGTAGAGTGCACGGGTCACCCTATCAAAAGGAGGAGAGGAGCGGTCATCAATGTTTAGAGAACTCATCTGAGCTGACAATTTCATCCAACCCGCTTCACGCTCAGAAGGGGAGGTTTTGTATCATCCTCGTGGTTTACGATCCAGTCAAGTTTGACTGACGTCCAAGCGAAGCATACTTTAGAAATGATCCCTAACAGTATGATCTTAATGAAATAATTCGCATGAATGACCAGTATAAAATCAAGGTCAAAATCTAAAATGGCTGAAGACTTTTAGGAAGATTAACATTATTTTATCTATATATATATTTGTGACTGTCGTTTGTCTGTCTGTCGGTCGGTCTGTCTGTCTGTCTGTCTGTTCGGGGTTGGCGGCTACACTAGGTCTGCCCCGAGTCTGAAATTTGGGGTAAAGGGGTAGCTCGGACCGGGGAGTAACATAGGCCAGGTGGCGTTAGTCTTCCACTTCCGGTTTCAGAGTTATGACCCCCGAGCGAAGCCGGTCTGTTCGGGGTTGGCGGCTCGCTAGGTCTGCCCCGAGTCTGAAATTTGGGGTATAGGGGTAGCTCCGACCGGGGAGTAACATAGACCAGGTGGTGTTAGTCTACCACTTCCGGTTTCGGAGTTATGACCCCCCGAGCGAAGTCTGTCTGCTCGGGGATGGCGGCTACATCTGCCCCGAGTCTGAAATTTGGGGTATAGGGGAAGCTCGGACCGGGAAGTAACATAGGCCAGGTGGCGCTAGTCTACCACTTCCGGTTTCGGAGTTATGCCCCCCCCCCCCGCGAAGCCGGTCTGTTCGGGGTTGGCGGCTACAGAAAGACAGAAAGACAGACAGACAAACGACAGTCACAAATATATATATAGATTAATTTTCGTAAAAACATAAAATAGTTCCGAAGTTTATAAAAGAGTTGAACGTCTTGTCAACACAATACTATGGTCGGTCATGTTGAGGCTAACATACAGTTAAATATTTATTACGATTACATATTCCATGTACCCCTTTTTTTGTTTCTATCATCCGAAGGACTAGGCAATGCCTGACAAGTGGAAAAGAAAATGAAATGGGGTTTAACATCTTAATGTTCTGTACTAACCAGACAAATAAAGATGGGCAAACGCAATTCATTGTGCCACGAGGGACAATTTACACAGCAATGGCAAATCCGACTAATCTACATTATCAAGTGTCATTTAAAGAAGCTAATATTTGGGACCTAGAAATTGACACAAATGGTTAGAGACTTTTCAACGTTAGATTGCAATCAATTTCACATTATGTTTTGTTTTAAAAAGAAAGAAACCACTCTGAATGCCTCCCCTACCTCCATCTCCCCAAAAAGGAGGAGAGAGGAACGGTCATCAATGGTTAGAGAAATCATCTGAGCTGAAAATTTCATCCAACCCGCTTCACGCTCAGAAGGGGAGGCTTTGTATCATCCTCGTGGTTTACGATCCAGTCAAATTTGACTGACGTCCAAGCGAAGCATACTTTAGAAATGATCCCTAACAGTATGATCTTAATGTAACGCTGCGATCAAATGACCAGTATGAAATCAAGGTCAAAATCTAAAATGGCTGAAGACTTTTAAGAAGATTGACATTATTTTATCCATAATAAACCAGGGAATTAAATTTCAGTTTATTTCAAAAATAGATATTATAGAAGACCTAATCCTGTATATTTTGATAAACTTTGTTGAATTCAATTGAGAATATCTTGTCTATAATTAAAAGAAATACCTGTATGTAAAATATGTAAACACAATTACTTAGTTTTATTTTCGGTTGGACATATTGTTTATATTTTGCCATTTAAAAAAAAACTGTTATTAATTTTAGCAAAAACATAAAAATAGTTCCGAAGTTTATAAAAGAGTTGAACGTTGAAGACATAATTTTGATAAACGTTGTTTAATTTAATTAAGAATACTTTTTCTATAATTTAGAGAAATAATTAATTAATTATATTTTCGGGTAAGAAATATTGTTTATAGATTTGCCATTTGAATAACTGTTATTAATTTTCGCAAAAACATTAAATAGTTCCGAAGTTTATAAAAGAGTTGAACGTCTTGTCAACCCAATACTTTGGTCAGTCATGTTGAGGCTAACATACAGTTAAATATTGGGTATCACGTGGCTAATTGGGTAAGACGCTGGCTCGCTAGCCTGGAGGTCGGGTGTTCGATCCCTGCATTGGCCGAGAAAGTTCATCCAGATTTTCCAGCGTGGTTCCCCCTTGTCAGTGATGGAGAGACGAAAAACCGAGGTCCCGTGTATACATTGGAATGCACGTAAAAGATCCCTTGGCAGTTGGAATTCTATAAAAGAGTAGGCGATAGTGCCGCTGCCCGGGCAAAATTTCCCTCATACTGTATGACGTATGCCCGTCTTCATTAGCCCAGCATATGAGCAGAACAGTAGGACGTTAAACCCCATTTCATTTCATTTCATTTATATTTTGCCATTTAAAAACTGTTATTAATTTTAGTAAAAGCATAAAAATAGTTCCAAAGTTTATAAAAGAGTTGAACGTCAACACACTACTTTGGTCGGTCATGTTGAGGCTGACGTACAGTTGAATATTTTTTATGTCGTGCTAAGGAAATGAAATGAAATGGGGTTTAACGTACTATGCTCCGTCAGCAATGCTAGGCAAATGAAATGAAATGGGTGGTTTAACGACCTACTGTTTTGCTCCTAAACTGTTCTAATGAAGACGGGCATACGCCATACAGTGTGCTATGAGGGACGAATTTTCTCGGCCAATGCAGGGATCGAACACCCGACCTCCAGACTAGCGAGCCAGCGTCTTACCCACTTAGCCACGTGATCCCCGCAATGCTAGGGATTACACTTGTGAATCTGTTGGTTTTTGTTTTGTTTTTATCATCCGAAAGACTAGGCAACGCTATCAATGACTGACAAGTGGAAAAGGAAATGAAAT